ACTCCAAGCTAGATGATCAACCGCAAGCTGAATATCAACGCACAGGCTCAGATGACTCAGCGCAGCAGATATCAAGCGCCAGAGCCAGGACTCGAAGCGCAGGAGAGTGACTCAGCGAAGAGTAGATAACCGAGCAATGTGCTGAACGCAAGACTCATTCAAGCACACAGTCAGATGTGACTCACACACAGAGCTCAGTGTATCAAAGCCGACAATAGATAATCGACGCACAGCTAAGGACTCAAACAAAGGCTCAGCTCAGCCGACAGTGCAAGTGCAAGACAGGCTCAGATGTGCTGAAGGCAAGGCCATGCTCAAGCCACGAGTCAGAGACTCAACCGCAAGAGGCCAGATGTGCTAGCGACACTCAGTGACTCAAGCCACAGGCTCATAGACTCAAGCGCAGACTAGAGTGACTCAACCACGAGCTCAATTGATCCGGCTCAACAGCCAAGAGGTCAATACTCAGCCACAGCTAGACAAACCACAGGCTCAATGACCAACGCAGGCTACTACCAAGCGCACGGCTCAAGGCTGAAGCGCAAGGCTGAGTGATCAGCCACTCACGTGACTCAACCCAGACTAGATGTGCTGAACCAACTCACACTCAAGCCCACAAGCTCGATGACTCAAACCACAGGCTAGATGATCAAACCGCACAAGCTCAGATTGCTCGAAGCGCACAGAGGCTCAGATGTGACTCAAGCCACAAGGCCAATTTACTCAAACGCACAGAGCTCAATAGACCGAAGCCCAGCGACTTAACTGACTAAAGCCGCAAAGAGGCTCAGAGTGACTCAAAGCCCACAGAGCCTCAGATGTGACCAAAGCCGCACAGAGGCTCAGATGTGACTCAAAGCCGGACAGAGGCTCAGATGTGACTCGAAGCCGCACAGAGGCTCAGATGTGACTCAAAGCCGGACAGAGGCTCAGATAAGACTCGAAGCCGCACAGCGTCTTAGACGTAACTCAAAGCCGCACAGAGGCTCAGACGTGACTCGACGCTGCACAGCGACTTAGACGTGACTCAAAGCCCTACAGAGGCTCAGACCCCGCCTCGAAGCCGCACAGGGACTTAGACGTAACTCAAAGCTGCACAGAGGCTCAGATGTAGCTGGAAGCTGCATAGTGGCTCAGATGTGACTCAAAGCCACACAGAGGTTCAGACGTGACTCAAAGCCGCACAGAGGCTCAGATGTGGCTGGAAGCTGCACAGTGGCTCAGATGTGACTCAAAGCCACACAGAGGCTCAGATAAAACTCAAAGCCGCACAGCGACTTAGACATGATTCAAAGCCGCACAGAGGCTCAGACGTGACTCGAAGCCGCAGGGCGACTTAGACGTGACTCAAAGCCGCACAGAGGCTCAGACGTGACTCGAAGCCGCACAGCGACTTAGACGTGACTCGAAGCTGCACAGCAGCTCTAACGTGACTCAAAACCTCACAGAAGCTAGAATGTGACTCGAACCCGCAAAGAGGCTGCGACATAACTCAAAGCCGCACACAGGCTCAGATGTGACTCAAAGCAGCACAGAGCCTCAGATGTGACTAAAAGCCGCACAGTGGTTCAGACGTGACTCAAAGCCGCACAGAGGCTCAGATGTGGCTGTACGCTGCACAGTGGCTCAGACGTGACTCAAAGCAACACAGAGGCTCAGATAAAACTCAAAGCCGCACAGCGACTTAGACATGATTCAAAGCCGCACAGAGGCTCAGACGTGACTTGAATCCGCAGGGCGACTTAGACGTGACTCAAAGCCGCACAGAGGCTCAGACGTGACTCGAAGCCGCACAGCGACTTAGACGTGACTCGAAGCTGCACAGCAGCTCTAACGTGACTAAAAACCTCACAGAAGCTAGAATGTGACTCGAACCCGCAAAGAGGCTGCGACATAACTCAAAGCCGCACACAGGCTCAGATGTGACTCAAAGCAGCACAGAGCCTCAGATGTGACTCAAAGCCGCACAGAGGCTCAGATGTGACTCAAAGCCGCACAGAGGCTCAGATGTGACTCAAAGCCGGACAGAGGCTCAGATAAAACTCGAAGCCGCACAGAGGCTCAGATGTGACTGAAAGCCACACAGAGGCTCAGATGTGACTCGAAGCCGCACAGAGGCTCAGATGTGACTCAAAGCCGGACAGAGGCTCAGATGTGACTCGAAGCCGCACAGAGGCTCAGATGTGACTCAAAGCCGGACAGAGGCTCAGATAGGACTCGAAGCCGCACAGAGGCTCAGATGTGACTCAAAGCCACACAGAGGCTCAGATGTTACTCAAAGCCGCACAGAGGCTCAGATAAGACTCGAAGCCGCACAGCGACTTAGACGTGACTCAAAGCTGCACAGAGGCTCAGACCCCGCCTCGAAGCCGCACATGGACTTAGACGTAACTCAAAGCTGCACAGAGGCTCAGATGTAGCTGGAAGCTGCATAGCGGCTCAGATGTGACTCAAAGCCAAACAGAGGTTCAGACGTGACTCAAAGCTGCACAGAGGCCCAGATGTGGCTGGAAGCTGCACAGTGGCTCAGACGTGACTCAAAGCCACACAGAGGCTCAGATAAGACTCAAAGCTGCACAGCGACTTAGACATGATTCAAAGCCGCACAGAGGCTCAGACGTGACTCGAAGCCGCAGGGCGACTTAGATGTGACTCAAAGCCGCACAGAGGCTCAGACGTGACTCGAAGCCGCACAGCGACTTAGACGTGACTTGAAGCTGCACAGCAGCTCTAACGTGACTCAAAACCTCACAGAAGCTAGAATGTGACTCGAACCCGCAAAGACATAACTCAAAGCCGCACACAGGCTCAGTTGTGACTCAAAGCAGCACAGAGCCTCAGATGTGACTCGAAGCCACACAGCGACTTAGACGTGACTTGAAGCTGCACAGCAGCTCTAACGTGACTCAAAACCTCACAGAAGCTAGAATGTGACTCGAACCCGCAAAGACATAACTCAAAGCCGCACACAGGCTCAGATGTGACTCGAAGCCGCACAGAGGCTCAGATGTGACTCAAAGCCGGACAGAGGCTCAGATAAGACTCGAAGCGGCACAGAGGCTCAGATGTGACTCAAAGCCACACAGAGGTTCAGATGTGACTCAAAGCCGCACAGAGGCTCAGATAAGACTCGAAGCCGCACAGCGACTTAGACGTAACTCAAAGCTGCACAGAGACTCAGACGTGACTCGAAGCTGCACAGCGACTTAGACGTGACTCAAAGCCGCACAGAGGGTCAGACGTGACTCAAAGCCGCACAGAGCCTCAGATGTGACTCAAAGCCGCACAGAAACTCAGATAAGACTCGAAGCCGCACAGTGACTTAGACGTGACTAAAAGCTGCATAGAGGCTCAGACCCCGCCTCGAAGCCGCACAGTGACTTAGACGTGACTCAAAGCCGCACAGAGGCTCAGACGTGACTCAAAGCCGCACAGAGGCTCAGATGTGACTCAAAGCCGCACAGAAACTCAGATAAGACTCGAAGCCGCACAGTGACTTAGACGTGCCTAAAAGCTGCATAGAGGCTCAGACCCCGCCTCCAAGCCGCACAGTGACTTAGACGTGACTCAAAGCTGCACAGTGGCTCAGACGTGACTCAAAGCCACACAGAGGCTCAGATAAGACTCAAAGCCGCACAGAGGCTCAGACGTGACTCAAAGCCGCACAGAGGCTCAGACGTGACTCAAAGCCGCACAGAGGCTCAGATGTGGCTGGAAGCTGCACAGCAGCTGAGACGTGACTCAAAGCCGCACAGAGCCTCAGATGTGACTCAAAGCCGCACAGAAACTCAGATAAGACTCGAAGCCGCACAGTGACTTAGACGTGACTAAAAGCTGCATAGAGGCTCCGACCCCGCCTCGAAGCCGCACAGCGACTTAGACGTAACTCAAAGCTGCACAGAGGCTCAGATGTAGCTGGAAGCTGGATAGCGGCTCAGACGTGACTCAAAGCCACACAGAGGTTCAGACGTGACTCAAAGCCGCACAGAGGCTCAGATGTGGCTGGAAGCTGCACAGTGGCTCAGACGTGACTCAAAGCCACACAGAGGCTCAGATAAGACTCAAAGCCGCACAGCGACTTAGATGTGACTCAAAGCCGCACAGAGGCTCAGATGTGGCTGGAAGCTGCACAGTGGCTCAGACGTGACTCAAAGCCACAAAGAGGCTCAGATAAGACTCAAAGCCGCACAGCGACTTAGACGTGACTCAAAGCCGCACAGAGGCTCAGATGTGGCTGGAAGCTGCACAGAGGCTCAGACATGACTTGAAGCCGCACACAGGTTCTGAAATGGCTTGAAACTGCACATGGCTTCATAGATAGTTTGTAATTTTTTCAGAAGTAGCTTGAAGTCGCACAGCAGTTTAGATGTGGATTAAAGATGCACAGAGGCTCAGACTTTACTTGAAACCGCAAATGGGTTCATACGTGTCTTGAAGCCGCACAGCAGTTGAAACGTGGCTTAAAGGTGCACAGTGGTTCAGTTGTGGCCAAAAGCATCAGCATTCACAGAGGGGCAGAACGACAAGAACAGCTAGAGCAACAATTTACGGGGATAAAACTCATGCAGGCAGAGATACTAGAAGAGACGTCCTGGCAGCGAGTGGAGACTGAGGCAGGTAAATAAAGTCAGGGAACCAAGTGGAATGACTTGGAGGTAATTGGTGGCAGCAGCTGGAGCTAATTCTGGCGGCTGGGAGCTGCAGAAAATGCAGCATGAAGTGGGAATCAGTTAGTTCATAATTAAGCAAAACTAAATTTTAACATTTTATTGTGATGAGGGCATTATTATCTATTATTTCTCATTTGTACCAGAGTGAGAGGTCAAAAAACACACTGAATAAATTACAAGAGTATACTGAACTTCCCCCCTGTCCGATAATTAATCCAGTATGGCTAAAATGAACCAAATGAAAGTAAAGAAAGTGATGTTAATGCACCTTAGAATATATTTCCATTTCCAGCAGACAGAATTTTATTAAGTATCTGTGCTTTTTTGTAGTGGTGTGAACATGAAGGTCTTTATTAAGTCATCAGGACCTTCCGAAATCAACATTCTACCAAAGCTAAAAGGTAAAGATTACTATATTGCTAACAATGTAATATAAGAAATAACGTTTTGATGCTTAACTTCACGTCTAATAGCATTTCAGAGTTTGCATAACTGATTAGATTTCATTTTAAGTGCAATAAACTCAGTGAAATTTACTGTGAATTAGTGTTTGCAAAACACATTCTACTGTATGCATCTAGTGACAAGAACTTTCTACTCAAGTGATTGATTAATACCAATCTGGTATGACAGGTAATTTCTGTAGTGCAGCTGTTTTTTCAATGAACCTCTTCCATCATGAACAACCACAAAATTTATTTTTTATTTCTTTCAGATCTCAATGAAACAGACCATGTTAACACATCAGGTAAAGTTGCTATTGATATAATTGTGTGAAAAATTAATTTTCATAACAGTGTTTCCAAAATTTAGCTTAAAATCTCTTCTTTTCTAAGGGCCCTGTCACACCTTGCCAATTTAGACCGCATAGGCCTGACGTCCCAGAATCTCCTACGCTGTACTTTTGTTGTATTTTTTACATTCTGGGCATATACATAGCGTATTCCTAACAATTCCAGAACTTGTATCCAACGACAGCCTAACTTATGCATAACACACAGCAGCATAATGCCCAATAAATGTCACAAGCCAGTATCCTGAGGAGGGCAGCAATGCGCAAGGAGGGCCCGGTCTGCATAAAAAAAATTATTTAATCGCAGTATTAACCCAGCTGCTGTTTACCGTCTGCCCAAAGAAAGAATAAATAAAAAGAAAAAAGATAAAGAAAGAAAGAAGGGTTGCTGTTGCAGCAGATTCAGGGTTATGTCTACTAGGAAGATTGTTGGTTGTGGCCGTTAGTGCAGGAATGATCCATCAAACTCACCTTCTTGCTCACCCTATGATGGGGATGAAGTCTGGAGGAGAACTGATAGTTTCCTCCTGTAAACCCCTTTTATACCAAAACACTGCCAATACGCCATTATACTGTAGGCCAGGCTTTTTGCCACATTTATCGTACGTAAGGCCTACGCCTCTAAATCGTCAAGGTGTGACAGGGCCTTGAGAATATACTTTTCTTCTTGTTTTAATTTCACCTTTGATACTGTAGGGGAAGGTATGATGGCCAAACCTGCTGGTTATTACTACAATGGTGAATGGCAGGCACTAGATGGCACCACAGTTCATCGCTTTAACAATGCCAGTGCAATGAGCCAGTGTTTAAAAGGGAAGGTGGTCCACATGTATGGAGACTCCACCATCAGGCAGTGGTTTGAATATTTAATTGCTAAAGTACCAGGTAGAAGCCAAGAAGAGGAATATGTCAAAGATTTGCATTTAGTCAATCTCTTTTCTGATCACTGTGTTGTTTTCTGCTGTATTTTCAGATCTTAAGAAGTTTGACCTAAAAACCCCCCCACAAACAGGACCTTTGATGGCCTTGGATTATAAAAACAACATCTTAGTGACATGCCGCTCCCATGGTCCTCCCCTTCGTGCTCTAATATTGCCCGTCAGTCAGTTTCATTTAGTTGCCAATGAACTGGACACTGTGGTTGGAGGCACCAACACTGTTGTGGTTATTGGCGTCTGGGCTCACTTCGGCGTTTACCCTGTTGAAGTCTACATCCGACGGCTGCTTAGCATAAGGAGGGCAGTGTTGCGGCTGCTGACCAGAGCTCCAGATACGCTGGTTATTATCAGGACTGGTAATCCAAAAAGGCAGTCACTCCATGATTCACTGACTACCAACGATTACTTCGCGATGCAACGTGATAAGATTCTCAGGGCAATATTCAGAGAAGTGAATGTCCGACTGCTGGATGCCTGGGAGATGACACAGGCCCACTACCTTCCACATGACCTCCATCCACCATCACCTGTGATTAAGAATATGATTGATGTTGTTCTGTCCCACATATGCTTTCCTCAACCAAAGAATTTTAAAAAAGCATAAAAGGAATAGAAAACTTTTGACATGGGTAGTCGGGTAACAATTTGTGATTGATCACTTAGCTACAGCTTAATGTCAAATACAAAATCTCAACTTTCTGTCCATCTTCAAACAATAGTGTGCTTAAGTGAATCGCTATAAGTGTATTTGTGCCTTCAGAGGGACAGTTATGCAATCATAGGTGCTCAAAGGTGCTGTTTCATAAAATTAAAATATCATGTAAAAATTTATAAATTTCAGTAATTGCATTCCAAAAGTGAAACTTCTATATTATATTGATTTATGACACACAGACCAATATATTTTTTTGCTTTTTGTTTTATGTATCTGTGTGTCTCTGTGTTGCCCTGCGAAATACTGCCGACCTGCCCAGGGTGTACCCCGCCTCTCGCCCATAGACTGCCAAAGATAGGCACCCGTTCCACCACAACCCTGAAAGAAAGAGGGGGAGGACATAGATGGATAATAACTGACTAACTAATGAAAACCCCCCAAAAAATCAGTTTCTCTGAAAATTTGAATAATATTTAAGACCAATACAAAAATAAAGATGATAAAGAATTAACCTGAAAACTATGAGCATGTACAGCACTCTGTACTTAGATGTTCTTGATCCTTTTGCATGGATTACTGCAGTAGTGCAGAGTAGCATAGAGTCTTGCAGTAAGGGCACAGGTTGCTCTAAAAGGGCCTTCAGCTCTTCTGCATTGTTAGGTCTGGCTTATTGCATCTTCCTCTTCACAATAAAGGCTGATTTAAACTCAGAAACCTGGACGTCTGCGTGTGTGTCGCAGTGAATGTAAATGTCCTCCCGCCCCTGTGACAGACACTCTGGTGCACCTCTCTAAATTTGTAGGTGACCCCAGACAGTGCTGCAGACAGGAGGCCTCTGATTGGTCAAATCTACATCTGGTCTACACTATGTGTATTTCCTGTTCTGTACCTTACCGGCTTGTTTGGTTTGTTTTTAACGCCATTATGGAAAACGACTGGGGAAGATGGACCAGTTAGAAGAGCGAGGTGCGCGAGAACGCTGGGACCTTTTCCACCTGGATCCCCGCTCTTTTTCGCCCTCATGTCCCTCCCTTGTCGCACAAACTTGCCCCCACTTCCTCACCGCCTTGGCCGTATCTAGACCCACAGCTAGTTTGTTATTGTCCCTCTTGCGTTGTGGCATGGAATAACATAGCACAGACCATGCTCCAATATTGGGCATAAATAAAAAATATCTGCAACAAGCTCACTACAATACTCTGCTGCGGGAGAATAACCAGTCTTTAAGCCATAGATTGTTTATAAGGGTTAAGGTTTGCTGGTTAATTAAGAACAGGGATACCATGGTCCTCACACCAAGCATTGGCAGCTTAGGCCCTGTGTGCAGGTTCCATGGCCTGTTAAAAAATTAAATGAGCATCTCCATAAAGTTGTCCAGGTGCAGGAAGCATGAAGTGTCTAAAACTTCCTGGTAGATGGCTTTATTGACCCCAGACTCTCCTCTCTTTCTGCCTAGCTCTCCTTGTGCAAGGTGTCAGTGGTGGTCTTTTGGATAAGTGTCAAGTCAGCAGTCTTCCCAATGATTATTTAGCCTACAGAATTAAACTAAGAGACTACTTAAAGGCATTTGCAGATATTCTGCTTTGATTACTTTATTAGAGTGTGGCACCAGGAGTCAACAATATTAGATCTTTTTACAATATTCTATTTTTCTGTAATAATTGATTTTGGGCTTTAAGAGTTCAGCAACTTTGACTGGAATTACTAAAATAAATTAGCTATTTTTTTTTTATATTTTCCTCTTATGAACAGCACCTTTAGATTGTGTAATTTGTGCTGCACGGTATTGATAAGTTATAGATTCAGGTTAAGCACATTGTGTGGAGAACTGGTGGTTTTTTTAAGCAAAGGCTAAAAGGGTTTTTAAAAGGTTGTGGATTTATAGCTTCACAGTAGGGTAAAGTAGCGTAAAGAAAAAATGGGCTAAAACCTATGGACTTAAAGGGAATCATAATAACAATCATATTAAAAACATCTTTTTTTTAAAAGTCATTTTTATGTGTTTATCTTAAGACAAACTTAAAGTGCTGCAGGTTTTGATTCAGATCTAATCCCTAAAAGATGACTGGCAGTTAAATCAGATTTCTGCTATCTACAAATTTTGTAATAGTATAGTTACATGGTTATTATCAATTATTTCACTTTATAAAAATCTATAATATCTATAATTGTAACTTTAAATTAAGTTTTCTGGGATGTGTTAAGTTACGTGTTTCATATTTTGGCTTGTTTTTCTTCTATTTTATTGTACTAATTGTTTCTGTAGGTTTCCTCTGCGTTTATTTAAATGTATTTTACCTTCTTATAAAACACTTTAGCAAATACTGCTGTTTTTAAATGTGCTATATAAATAAAATGGATACTTCTGGCATGCAAGGCAATGATTTGGTCTTACCTCTGTTTACTGCTCATTTGCAATTATCCTGCTTGGTGGCTGCTAAAACCAAACTATGACAAAGGAAATCAAGACTAATTTAATGACCGCATGGTTGACATGGACCAGTAGCCCCATTGATGCCCCAATCTCCCACAGCTCTGACAGAAAAATATCCTCCACTGGTCCTTTTTGATAATCAGAGGTCTTGATCTTCAACTTCAAGCCTCCGAAGACAATCGTGATATGGAGAGGAATGATCAAGGATATCTCTTCTCCTATGTTGTCCTCTCTACACTACTTACCCTGTTCAGCTCCTCCCAGCAAGAGAGGCATCTCTGGTCGATTGCATCTTAATCACCTTCTCATTATGTCACAGAGCTCCACACAGATCTGATAATAACCCACTTAGTTGATCCTGCTGCAGAAAAACATCTTAAAGTTGCAGGATTTTGGACAATAAAGACTGAAGTAAAGAAAAACAAGGCATCCCAGAGATCACATTCCACTGGGGCATCACTGCTGAAATTCTGTCTATGAATTAACATTTCTTACCAACACCTGTTATGTTTTATCTTTAATCGCCTCCTCAATGTATGTCAATGTAATGAAGAGGCTTGTTTACCCCTTTAAACTGGGGGATATGTTTGCCGGTTCTTCTGCTCCTGGGTGGGTACCACATTCAAAATATGACTTGTTTATGGGTTGGATTGACCTCATGACACGCACTATTGCAAATATGCAAAAACAAATTACCATGTGCATTCCCTGATGTCCAGTTTTTTCCCATTCATTGTGGACCTAGGAACCTTTTTGCAAGCCCAAAAGCAACCTGGATCTGATCTTTTCATAACAGTCTGAACAACACAGATCCAATTTTTTCCAATCCAACCCAGGCCACTTGGCTATGTGGTCCAAAATCCGATACGAATCAGATCTTTTCAAATGCGACCTGTGTCTGAACAGCCAGGTCGCATTCATCAGACCTGAATGTCGTTATTACCCAACAAAGGTCACCATTGTGCGTCTTGCTACGCAGAAGTGGCAAGAAAAAACAACAACAATGGTGGACAATAATGCAGAGAACATTTAACCATCTTGAAAAGATTGAGTTTTTAAGGTTGGCAAAGATCGCTAGATGTTCTCCAGCACTACCATCCATGTTTACTTCCATAAACACAGAGCACGCTGGCTTGTGATGTCATTGCATCTTCTACTGCGCATTCGGGACACTTGTGTTGTATGACTGCAGTTCACACAGGAGATCACATTCAAGTCGCATACATTTGGATATATGAACGGCAACGCAAAAAATTCAGATTTTGCACACAAAAAAATCGGAATTGAGCATTAAGGCCTGGAGTGTGAACGTAGCCAAAGAGTAACAAGGGGTGAGAAGAACTAATATGATTTAAAAAAAGGAAAAAGAAATGAATGATTAAGAAACACAGAATGACCAAAAGGGAAAAGTAGGTTGGGGAGAGGACTGGAGAAATGTATATAACTACGGTAATCTACAATGGAGAAACATACTCTAAAGATAATGGAAAACCATAAATATGAAGCACTGCTGCACAGATTAAATTAATAACAGGAAGGTTGAAAATAGATAACTAAACTAAACACCAAGGACAAGTAAAGTCTGAAAAATTATTTTAAAAATTAACTGCAACACAGGGTAACCAAAATCAAAGCAAAACTGAAAATCAAAAATAAAAACTTGAACAGAACGAAAAAGTCCAGAGAAGAAGATATGAAACGATACCCTAAACATCCGATAAGCATTCATGTTTACAGAGCTTTGAATTAAAAGAAAAACAATGCAGATAGAAGATTTAAGAAGGTCAAACTAATCACTAAACATTATGTGTATCTGACTGAGATCTTATCTTATGATTAAAAAAGTTATTTATTTTAAACAAACTTAAAATCTTTCAGAATAAAAAAGATTATGCCCGCCAGAAAAGGTTTGATTGGGATGTAAAGAACTTATGTTATCTCAACAGCTGGGCGGTTGCAGCAATACATGACATTTTGAAGGTATTTCATCTTTTAACATGCTGTAACTTTTTAACTCACTCGCCTTATCTTTGTATAAGAGTGGCAAAGATGCAAAACAAAAGGAATCTCTAACAGTGAGCAATACGTCTTATGCAGCTGCTATCTCACAGTAAGGGTGTTACATGTCTTGTTAACATTAAAGTAGCACAAATTACTTGTTTGTTTTTTAAAGTCCAAAATTACTCATAAAACAGGGGAATTTAAAATAGATTTTTGGGGGGTTTTCAAGGTTTGGAGTTGTTCAAGGGAAACCATGACTTAATAATAATGTGTGAAGAGAACCAACGTTTAGGGGGATGGGTGAGAGGTCTTCCAATTTCAGACACTTGGAGCTTTGATGATTTGAAGATAATGGTTCATAAAGCTGCTCAGGAATTACAAAATACATAAAAGGATATAACAACATACATATTTCAGAACTCTCATCTTTAGCAATATCACTGTCTCACTTTCTTTCAGAAACAGACATATTGGTTAAATACATCAGCTACATGTCTAGATCTGTATGGGGTAAGAAAACATTTGGGCTCAATTTGCCACCAGCCACCATTTGTAAACAAGTCTGAACTTGCCCCCATCAGCAGCTTATGTTCATCAGTAATGATTTAGAGAATAAAATGGGAACACAAGCAGCTCCACTTTGGAGAATCGTCGACTGAACATCTGTGATGCTATACTGTCAGATATAAAACAATTAAATATGTTCATATGTTTGTGTTTAAACTTCTTTATTACTTTTGGTGGTAAAGTATTACTTGTGAGATATAACTGTGATATTACAAGGTCTGCAGAGTTATTTCCTCTGATGCAATAAGTATAAAATGTCTATGCTGGTATCAGAAAGGTATTAACTCATAAATGACAAATCTTAATGTCTGATAAAACTTTCTGAAAACCATGTTTCCCCTTGTTTTGTTTTGCATTGGCTCCAATTTGCATGGCGTTTGGCGGCAAATAATGTGTATTGAGTTTTATTATACAAGCCTCAGGGGTTCGCCTTCAGACAACGAGTTTGCATTTAGGGCGGGATCTGTGTTTGCTAGAAACCGTGATCTCTCTCTCTCTCTGCAACTTTTCGCGCTACAGTCCAGGTACTGGTAGCGCCACTGTAGTAACCCCCACCCACCCCCAAACCCCCCACCTGGCTCCAGTGACTCCCATCTGCCTTTGAGATTCAGATCTAATCAGAGACAAAGGCCTTGATAAGTGAAAGCTGTTATCGGTGGGTTTTGTACACTAAAGGTCTCTGTGGGAGTTGGAAAGAAGCAGCGGTGCACCCTGAAACTTTTCACCGGTGGTCAAAGATCGTTGGTTTGAGACGATGACTGACCCTTTTTTTTAACGCTGTCCTCTTTTTTTGTGTGTGTTTTAAAAATACAGCTATGTTATGTCTTCAAACTTGTAAAACAAAGTCCGGTACATATTTTTTTTGTGTGTGTGTCAGATAAATCCACCTTCCATGGCTTAGATTAATAAAGATAATAACCACATAAAAAAATTAGTTGCACTATCTATCTATCTATCTATCTATCTATCTATCTATCTATCTATCTATCTATCTATCTATCTATCTATCTATCTATCTATCTATCTATCTATCATAACTGAATTAGTTCCATGTGCTGCAACAGAAACCATAATAGATTAGTTTCTGGGAGCAATTCAATTCTCTACCTTTATAGTTTCATTCTTTATCTTGAGATAAAGGACCTTGAGTGCCAAAGACCTTGAGTGTCCAGAAAGGCGTCTTTGAAATAAAATGTATTATTATTATTATTTTTACTTAAACTTATAATTCAATGTTTCACTTTTAACTTTACCTTCTTGGAGATATAATTACAGTGGTAAGTATATCTATTACAGGGGTCTGCAACCTAGTTAGTAGCCTAATTTGAAATTTATAATCTCTACAATCACAATATTAATGTACTAAAATATATAATAATAAAGGCATCGAATAGCCTTGTTATTAATCCAGTCTTGCGAAAAAAAATGTTCGGAGTGAGACCTCAGTATTTCTGATACCTATCTTGAAATCAGCGCGCCGGCTGCCCCGCCACTTCGAGCGGAGGCGTGGCTTTCCGCTCTCTCATTCCCAAGGAAACTGAAGACGCTACGCTGTTGATTGGCTGGAGCTCCGTGACGAACGTCTCCAACTCGCGTTCCAATTGGCTGGAATGATCCAGCTGCCTCAGAGCGCCAGAAAGCAAGCTTTAGCGGGTGTTGGTGAACTGAAGTTTCCCCAGGACAGTACATGGTGTCCGCCCGCTGGATGACACGCATAGGACGTACTTTAGCGGTCCAGAGTTGCCCGCTATTTTTATAGAGGGAAAAGAAGCGGCTATGTTCGGCTGGAGACGCTAAACCGATGACAGGACCGTGAACCACATCGGAATATTTCATTCATTTCAACGGTCACTCATAGAAGGTGAATAATTTTGCTTTTCTTCCAATTGTTTTTTAAGATCTGTGTAACGCTATGCTGTTCCACTGACCTGTCCCCTCAGACAAGTAGCGGATTAAGAATATAATAAATGTTAAATGATCGATGTGTCATAATATAATGCATTTTATGGTTAATTAAGAGCTGATGCAGCTTTAGGCAAATCGAACTGACCTTTCAGCCTGTTAAGGTTATAGATAAAATATACGTTTCAACTTGGATAAAACTTTGATTTATTACAGGGTTATAAAGCATACCTTTTCCATCTTGCAGCACAGGTTATAACCCAGAAGGTTAAATGTAAAATATGTTAGTAAAGGAGCGAATTAGCTCGTGGTTAGCCTGCTAGTTACCAGATGTTTGCGCCAAATTCCTCTGAATGGTCTAAAACTTTAAAAGATACTCTTCCGCGTTTGTTTCTTTTTTCACCAAACCACTGTGCCCTGATTAGGAAATACTATAAAATAAATTCGGCTTGTAGTTTGTGTAAGTTTGTAAAATACAAAGTTTTAAAAAGTCGTACTTCTGGTTTCAGTGCAGTTGTGTTGATGACATCACACGACAATGCTCTCTTTGCTTAGATTTTATTTATTTTTCTCAGCTGAAATGAATGGATTCTAGTTTACAAAAGAGAAAACAGTTGGATGTGCAAGATGTGGGACTGACAGGCAAATTTGGGATTTATTGCATATTAAATCTGCTACTATCCAATGCAACTAACATGCATATGAAATGAGGTTAGAGTTGCAGCATGTTGCAACATACCTTTTTAAGGTTTGACGTTCATTGATGCTTTCATTGTGAAAAGTAAAGATCCAAATCGTATCAAATCTGCTTTTTTATTTGTTATATTTAGTTGATTGTACGAGGTATGCTTTAGATAAATTCTTATGTCCAGTAAGTTTTTATTACAAAAGTATAGAAAGAAAAACCAACAAACATACTATAGCATGTTGTGTATGTAATAAGCTATATTTAAATTGAGTTTTAGTTCATCTGCTGAGATTTTGGTGATTAAACGTTACTTTTTTGCAGGTTTCCCTAATGGAGGTGGAATGCCTGGCATTGAAAGACCTCACAAGTCTGGAGAAAAGTTTCTCAAAGGAGCCGGAAGAAGACGGAGCTCACAGCGAACAAAAGGTGGAGTTGCATAGGATTTTTTTTATAGCATAAATTGACAATCTTGCATCCAAAAATGTGTTTGATTAGACATTTTATTTCCATTTTAACTACTTTATAGTCTGAATCAGCATTTTTCTTTGTCTATCACAGGAAAATGTCTGCCTGGAAAGGAGGAAACCAACAGACTCCAGCGTTCCAGTTTTCCTTGTGAACAGGAGGAGCTCCGCCTCCGATTTTGCCCACGTCACTCCCATCAAGTCAGCGCTCCTGGCCGAGCCGTGGTCGCCCACAGCCAACCTGAAGGTGCTCATCAGCGCGGCCAGCCCAGACATCAGAGACAGGGAGATGAAGAAAGTGCTGTTCAGACCTATAGAGAACGACAAAGACAAGGCGGAGGGCTCACAAGCTCCGCAGGAGGATGTAGAAACAGAGGACTCTGCTCAGGTAAAACTTCCCGCTTCAAGGCTTTATAAACGTGTTATATAAGTTGTTGTGACAATCTTCTTAAACTTGCTTTCCCCTGTTTAGTGTGACGCGGCTTTTGAAGAGGAAGATACGGATAAGAAGCCGAGCAGGAAGGAGAAGAGCCTGGGTTTACTTTGCCAGAAGTTCCTGGCCCTTTACCCTGATTACCCACCAGCTCACAGCACCATTTGGATCTCACTGGACGAGGTCGCAACTAATCTGGGTAAACACAAAAAAAAAGTATCAGAAGAGCAGCTTTAGCTTTTTAAACCAGACTCAGTTTAATTTATTTGTTTTGCCTGTCAGGAGTGGAGCGTCGGCGTATCTACGACATCGTCAACGTGCTGGAGTCTCTGAGCATCGTTGGCCGGAACGCCAAGAATAGCTACACCTGGTACGGCCGCCAGCGGCTGGATGCCACGCTGCAGGAGCTGCAGCGGAGGGGCCGGGAGCAGGGTTACCACCTGCAGATGGATCTGCAGGCTGAGGCCAGGAGGACCGAGCACAGCCGGGAGGAAGACGGAGGGGAGGGAGACTCAGGGAACGGTAAAAAAAATTAATAAAAATTCTACCTTTTTCTGATAACCAAGCAGTTCTGGTACTTAATTACTTAAATATGCTCGTTTTGCAGCTGGGGGAAACAGGAAGGATAAATCTCTGCGCATCATGAGCCAGAAGTTCGTCATGCTTTTCCTGGTGTCCAAAACTCAAACCGTAACTTTGGACGCGGCAGCGAAGGTCCTCATCGAGGAGTGCCGGGACTCCTCGAGCCACAGCAAATACAAAAGTAAGAGCCAGCAGATTTACAGACAGAAGCTGCTGCAGCTCCAGGTTTATGGGGGGAATTTTATTCCATTATCTGGAAAAGAACGGGTTTTGTTAAAGGAAACATGAGAAAAATGGAATTCAGAAATGAAAATTTGCGGTAATTTGAGTCTTTTCTCAAAATCTTTTAGATTTATTTTTCATATTTTGCATTATTTTTATTATATTTTTTGTTTAAAATTTCAGTTTTTAAGATTAAGTTTTAGGAAACCTGTTCTCTTCAAGTTGCGTTTTGCAGATCAGATTCTCTTGTGGGTGGGCTTTACTCTGGAGGGAGGGGTGAGGACTCATTCCTATTGGTCTGCTGGACATTAGCGACATTTTCATTGGTCAAGAGGGAGTGTTAAAACACGATTTGAAAAAAATTAGATTTATAAAAATCAGACTTGAAATTATAATAAAAAGAAAAGATAAACAAAAAAAAGCATTTGAAAAAATATGGAAAACAATTGCAAAGTTTCATATCTGTTATTTTTCATTGTTATATTTGTTCGTTGCTTGCCACAATAATTGAACAATATTCCCTCTTTTCAATTTCTATATTATGCAGCTTTTTATTTTTTGGTTTTTTAACCCATTTATTGGTCTGTTTAGCAAAGGTACGCCGCCTGTATGACATCGCCAACGTGCTGACCAGCCTGGAGCTCATCAGGAAGGTTCATGTGAAAGAAGAGAGAGCCAGGAAGCCGGCCTTCAAGTGGCTGGGCCCTGTGAAATTCAGCAGCCCTGGAAGTTTAGGTAAGAACGGAAGAGCAGCTCAGAAAAAAAGCTGGGAAAAAAAGGTTTAAGTCGCTTATTTTAAACTTGATAAGTCAAAAGATCTACAACTGCTACTGCTATACTGACACTTTCCTTAAAAGCTTTAAATCGATGTTTGAAGAAGTCTGCGGTTCCTTCAGGTTTTGAGAGAGAGCAAGGTTAAACAGAGCTAACAGGAAGGCTCAATAAAAAATACAGCAGTCTCTCTCCCTTTTTTAACCTTCAACCTCTGTCTGTCCTGGAGCATGATGGATATAGATCTAACATGGCTCAACATTTCAAAGGAAACGCAAACAAAACGACATGTTTCAGTGACGCTAACTGCGCTAAACACTAACATGTTTGCAGCAACTCTTACATTTTGTGATTCAAATATTCTTCCAATTAAAGCTTAATCAAATAAAGTGCATCTCAAAAACTCTGCCTCATTAAAAAAAATTTGCAGGAAGTGCTTCAGATGGCGTTAGAATTGACGGCGCGGTGAACGAGGACTTCAGGAAAGCAAAGATGGCGAGTCATTCCTCCTTTAGAGTCACACCTACGACGGTTAGCGTGCAGCGGCAGGTTAGCTCTGCACCCAGCAGCCCGCGACACCACCTACCAGGTAGGAATCTGGAGTTGATGTTGGCTTTTAGTGCTGTTGATAGTTCAGTCCAGCCGATAAAACGTCCTATTTCGCACACAGCAGGCATCCAGAATCAGCCTTTGGATTACACAAGAAAGACCGTGAGCGACGGCCCGGTGTGTGGAAGCAGCATGGAGTGAGTTTGCAATGTTTTTCATTGAACCAGCTGAAAACAGCAAATCAAAGAGAAAATCCTAACCTTGTATTGTTTCCCTTCAGCAGATGTCTCAGCGTGCCGCTGTACACCCATCTCCCTCCGAGCAGCAGCGGCCCCCTGCCCCACCTCACCCCCTCCCCGCACTGCCTGGCCTACCTGCCCAGCCTCTCCCAGCCGTCCGTCGTCATGCTCTACAAGGCGCCAGCGCAGCAGGAATATTCACCTGGAGGTCAGAGGTCAGCCAGATTGGCTTCAGAGGAAGAGGCGAAACAGAAAAGGGAGGAAAGTGAATGGGAAGAGGAGGCGATGGTGCTAAAGAAAAGGAAATCCGGTGCAGAGGAGTCTGAAAAGGTGAATTTACGTTTATATCAAGGCTTCTGCTTTTTGTCGGCTTTTAAATCTAAAAAAAACGTCAGAGTTTTAGGCTAAAAATCCCGGTTTTTGTTCCCGTTCCAGATTGGAGCTCAGTCAGAAAGAGAAGCAGCAGACTTTGCTGCATCATTATGCCACGCTGTCCAGCAGGGGGCCATAGAGAGCCACTCCCAGCCGTCACACTACCTCTATGTCCCCAACAGTGCAGGTTTGTGCTTTAAGCATGAAAACGAACAGAAAAAAAAATCAAAGAAGATATAAACAACTTTCCTCTTGTTTCCTCTTAAGGTTTGAACAACTTTAACTTCCTCATCCCGGCCGGACAGCCACCAGCCGGGATGTCCCTCCCCCCCGGCGGCGTCCCAACCATGGCCCTGCCCTACGTCCTGTTGCCATCAGTCTCCCACTACCCCCTAATCGCCGGCAGCGTACAGCAGCAGCAGCAAACCTCCGACAATCTGAGCTTCACCATGTCCACTATGATGTCACCAGCTGCCTTTATGGTGGGGGCGGCGCCTCGCGGAGTAACAGAGGCATCAGAAACACACCTCCTATCACCAGTCGCCCCCGACCAGGGCAGGCCCCTCCTGTCAGCAGGGACACCTCGTTCTCCTTCAGGACCAAGAGAGAACGTCAGCGTTTACACACCAGAACCCTCAGTAAGGACCCACTGCCTCTCTTTCTTTCTATATTGACTTACCCCATATAATGAGGCTGCCACCGCCGTGCTTCACTGTTAGAATAGTGCATTTCTAGGGTTAATCGTCTTTTTTTTCTGCTCTTTCTTCACAGACGCCACATACTCCTAAGGAAACCACATCTTCCTCTTCCAAAGCCTTCTTCCAGACGCCGGGGACTCTGGGAAGTGTAGTTAGGACGGCGCCAGCTGCTCGCAAAAGAGGCTCCGCCCAGAGGAGACTGGACATCGGCCACGCTGCTGCTCCCTGATGAGAAGCAGAGTTAAAATAAGGAGATGATCCTTATTTTAAAAGAAAAATGTTTGTTTTTATTTTACCACCCTGAAGACGTTTCTGTTAGCAGATCGAATGTGCCTTGTTAATCTCCACGACCATTTCACCATAAATTCGTCAACCAGTGTTGCCAATTTACCAGTGCCCTCTTGTGGTGAGAGCCGGTAGCTGCCATATATATATTTTTTTTTTCTTTTTTATTGAAATTTTAGCCTTAATTCTCCCTCCCAGATGTGATCGAGCTACCTAATTCCTGTTATTTTATGTATTAAAGCTCAATTACTATTTATATTTTAGCTAATATATGTCAATTACAGGAAATGTGGTGGGACATTTAGCTTTCTTGTAGCACTAAAACATCATTGTACAAAAAAAGTGATCTTTCTGGTGCTCTTACTTGTTTTGTTACGTCATGAAAGTGTGATAGGATAGTAGGAGAGAGGGTTAAAAAAATCACTAAAGCCTTAAAATGTTTACAACCCTTCAAGTATCTGAACAGTCGGTTTTCCTCTTCAGGAGGAAGATGTTACTTATTTTATGTCCAAGGCTGCAGGGTAAAACCACAGCACTGATACTGAGGCGTCAAATGATGACGCTTTAAGGTACTTGAATACTAGAATGGAATTAAATCTATTTATATCAGAGTACTGTAAAAGTTATTTTTTTTTTTTTTCCCTGTGCTGGATGGAATCAGCTGAGATGAGGATGTCTTCTTTGCTCAGGTTGATCTGGAGAACATCCCGCTCTCAGAAATCTGCTTTTTCCTGCCGGCTTACTGACCAGTAGCTTCATGCATAGTTTTTTTTTTTCAGTTTACAGGTTTACGTCACATTCTAGAAATCCTCGGTTGCCATTTAAAAGTGTTCCTGTGTCTTGCTTCTCTCTGTAGACCCGCTCTTTCGTTCATGAATTTCATTTGAATAAAATTCTTTTTTTTAATGTGTGTTTGTTTTTTTGGGAGGGGATTCTAATACCCTGCCAACACATCTCTGGAGCCATTTATAAAATATAGAGTAAAAAACTGGACCATTCTGGGAGAAAACCTGGAGTCTGCAAAAGACCAGAGACTGGGATGGAGATTTATCTTCCAACAAGAAAATGACCAAAAAAACAAAGCAAAATCTACAATAGAACAGTTCACAGATTAACATATCCAGGTGTTAGAATGAGAATGGCCCAGTCCAAGTCCAGACCTGAATTTAAACAAGAATCGGATCGAACTGAAATCTGCTTTTCACAAACGCTCTCCATCCATCCTCACTGAGTTCCAGCTGTTTGCAGGAAGAATGGGCAAAAATTATAGTCGATGTGCAAAACTGATAGAAACATGCCCCAGATGGCTTGTTTTCACAGTTAAAGGTAACACTGCAACGCATTAACTCAAGGTAGTTGAATACATTTCTTCACCCAATTTTTCAGTTAATTATTTGTTTAAAAAAGTTTCAAATATGCCATAAATTTTCATTCTACTCCATGATTGTGTTCCACTTGTTGATTCTTCATAAAGAATTACAATTTTATATCTTGTAGTTTGAATCCAGAGCAGTGGGTAGCACTGCTGCCTTTCAGCAGGATGGTTCTGGGCTTGATTCCCGGCCTGGGGTCCCTCTGCATGGAGTTTGCATGTTCTTCCTGTGAATGCGTGGGTTCTCCCAGGGTACTTCGGCTTCCTCACACAGTCCAAAACCATGACTGTTAGGTTAATTGGCTCCTCTAAATTATCCGTAGGTGTGAATGGTTGTTTGTCTCCGTGTTGCCATGTGATAGACTGGCAACCCTTCACCTATCCTGCCCCTTGCCCATAGACAGCTGAAGAGAGGCACCAGCAACCCTCGTGACCCTGGAAGGCACGAGCGTGTCAGTAAATGGATGCCTGGATGAAAAAATGATTTCAACTCCAGCAATCCATTTCAAGAAATGAAAGAAATTTCTAAATGTTAAGAATCTATATCAAATCAATTCTGGGTATAGTGAAGCACATAAATAGCTCCTCAAGTCATTCAAAATTCACAAATATAAAACAAAAGTGATTCTAGGCCTGACATGAAAGGGAGTATTAATGTACTTAGGAATGTTAATATATTGCTAGTATCAACATGTTACATAGGGAAAAAAGTTAGCACTGTTGCCTTACAGCAAGAAGGTTCCAGGTTTGAATCCCCTATAGAAGGGATAAAATCACCACCCAGTTGTAGTACCTCAATAGACCCACTAGGGGTCACAACTCCACCGTCGAAGACCACTATTTTAGACAAGAAAAACTTACTCGAAAAATCGTTACATTTAAAGTATATTTATAATTTGGGGATTTTATTCTCTATAAGTATTATTTGCAAACGATATAATGTTAAAACCATAAATATAGATATACAATGTGCATTAACGTATTTCAACAAGCTATATTAAAAAAAATATGATAAAAAGAAAAAGCAGGAAGGTTAAAAAAAACAATGAAGTTATTTCACAATATCAAATAAGGTGCAGATCCTTTCTAATAGGGATGCTCACGTTCAGTCTTCAAGGGCTACTATCCTGCAACTTTTTGAAGCTCACCATATTTAACACACCTGAATCAAATGAGGCCTGTTACCATGCCTACCATGCTGAGATACATAAGGGGATTGGGCCTTCAGATCCAGGTGTGATATTATAATAGATAATAAGAGTAAAGTTGAAATATTAGTTAAAGGTTTTGCTAAGATACATAGTACAGAAAATGTAAATAATAAAGAAAAAAGAGGGCGTGAAATGACATTAAAGAGAAATATTGCATTGGTCAATGATGAAGAAGATTGTGAGGATTCTATTAACATGAAGTTTTCCTTGTTAGAATTAAATAAAGAATTGAAGAATTCTAGTAAATCTACTCCTGGGAAAGATCAAATTAGTTATAGTATGTTAAATAATCTTAGTGATGTGAGTAAAGAAATATTAGAATTATATAATAAGGTGTGGGAGGAAGGGATATTACCTGATATATGGAAAGAAGCCATCATTATACCAATTTGCAAACCTGGTAAAGATCCTAATTTAGCTGAAAGTTACAGGCCAATAGCTCTAACATCATGTATGGGTAAAGTCATGGAAAAAAATGGTAAATAACAGATTAATTTATTTTTTAGAATCTAAAGAAAAGATTAAATCTTATCAATTTGGATTTAGAAAAGGCAGAAGTACAATAGATCCTGCATTATGTCTGGAACATGAAATTAGACGGGCTCAGGTAAATAAGGAGAGTGTGTTAGCAGTATTTGTTGATGTGGAAAAGGCTTATGATATGTTATGGAAAGAAGGGCTATTGATTAAAATAAAACGAATAGGTATAAGAGGTAAAATATATAGATGGATAAAAAAATGTTTTAACTGAAAGAAGTATTAGAGTAAAAATAGGTGGGGTAATAAGTTCAAAATATCAAGTTGAAAATGGCACTCCCCAAGGTAGTATAGTAAGTCCTATTCTGTTTAGTATAATGATTAATGATATTTTTAGTAGTATAGATAAATCCTTTGGTGTCTCATTGTTTGCAGATGATGGTATTATTTGGAAGAGGGGGAAAAATATAGAGTTTGTAAATAGAAAACTACAAGAAGCATTGCAGAATGTAGAAGCTTGGGCTTTAGATTGGGGTTTTAGATTCTCAACATCTAAGTCTAAATGTGTTGCTTTTACAAATAGGAAGTTAAACAATAATGTAAATCTCAAATTATATGGGGATGTTATAGAAAGGATAGATCAAATTAAGTATTTGGGCATCTGGTTTGATAAAAAACTTACATGGAAGATACATATTGATAAAATAGTTGAAAAAAGTAAAAGAATTTTAAATATAATGAGATGTCTGAGAGGAAAAGATTGGGGAGCAGATAGAAAAGCATTAAAAACAGTATATAATGGACTAATTAGATCAATTTTAGATTATGGTTGTATAGTATACAATTCAGCTTCAAGTACTTTATTAAAGAAAATAGATAGAATACAATACCAGGCATTAAGACTTTGTTGTGGAGCAATGAAAACTACCCCGGTTTCCGCTCTACAAGTGGAGATGGGTGAGATGCCACTGGAGCTCAGGAGAGAACAACTAGCCATAAAGTACTGGGTAAGTATTAAAGGATCTAAAGAAAATCATCCTCCGTATGTTACACTGCAACCATGTCAAGAAAAAGAAAAGAAAAAAATTAATAGTTTTGGATGGACAATTATGAATAAAGTAAAAAATGTAGGAATAGATAACTTTGTAATCAGTCATGTGGTTGTTATTCCTGCTATTCCATCATGGATCTTTGGACAGGCTGATGTTGATTTAAATTTATTGAGAAAAGGGAGACAGTTAGATTAAAAAGACGTGGAAAATTATATTAAAAAAGAATATTCAGAGTATATACAAATTTATACAGATGCTTCTAAAACATTAAATGAAAGAGTAGGTATAGCATTTGTAATCCCAGATTTAAATATTATGAGGAATAAAAGAATAAAAGATAAATTGGCAGTGTATACAGGTGAATTAATGGCTATCTTAATGGCTTTAGAATGGATTGAGGAAACAAAAGACAGGGAGGTTTTAATTTGTTCAGATTGAAGTAGTGCATTAATAAGTATTCTAGAATTTAATTCAGAGTCGAGACAAGATATTATATTGGATATTCTTCACTCAATTTTTAGGATTAAAAATGGTGGTTCTGTTGTTAAATTTGTCTGGATTCCTGCTCATATTTGTGTTATCGGTAATGAGTTAGCTGACAGTTTTGCTAAGAGTGCTGTAAAAAAGGATATTGATTTAAACATTAACATTAGTAAAAATGAGTTAAAGAATATTATAAAAATGTATTTCAAGAAGAAATGGCAAGAACAGTGGGATAAAGGAGGGAATGCTAGATTTTATTATAGTATTAAAAAAAAGGTTGGAGAATTAAGAAAATGTAATAGAATTAAAAAAGAAGATGTTATATCTAGAATAAGGTTTGGACATACAGGATTAAATAGTACTCTTAAAATAATGAATAAGCATAATACAGGGTGTTGTATTTGTGGGAAATTAGAAACTGTCCAACACATATTTTTAGAATGTAATAAATATACTCAGGAAAGAGAAATGTTGTGTAGAGAGTTAGACAGGAATAAAAGTAAACTAGATATAAGGGAATTGTTTCAAAGGTCATCTGGGGATGTAGTTTTTGGTAGTATTTTTAATTTTCTAAGAAGAACGGGTATTTTAGGGAGAATATAATAGTTTGTCTGATCCATACTCCATTCTGGAAGGTGGCGGTAATGCACCTATAAGTTGTTTGCCAACCGCCATAAAAAAAAAAGAAGAAGAAGAAGAAGAAGAAGAAGAAGAAGAAGATCCAGGTGTGCTGGGTGAGACAGATGGAGAGGGGCGTGGCCCGAGAAGGAGAGCCAATGGAGAGATGGTGTTTGAGTCGTTCATAAAAAACATTTCGATTTTTATTATTTATTTTATAATAACATAAATGAGCCTCGTTTTGATTATCAGAGAATAAAATATTAAATTGGACTATTAGTGAAGGAGTTGAGAGAAGGAAACTTGTTAGTAATTTGCAATAATGAGGAACAAAAAACATTTTGGATGTTGAGGACCTAGGAAAAAGAGAGGTCATTGATATAAAAGTCATAGGAGAGAATAAAACTGTGAAAAGAGTAATGAAAGGAATACCAATAAATGAGGATTTGGTTCCGGTAAATTGTATGAAAACATACAAGGGGAAGGGGTGGCAAGCATGTCACTTCTGATAGAGTTTTAGAGTCAGTTCTACCAGAAAGGGTCAACATATATTTCATGAGTTTCCCAGTTAGGTCGTTCATTCCACCTCCACTCAGGTGCTACAGGTGTCAGAGCTATGGACACATGGCAGCAGTTTGTAGAGGAAAGCAGAGATGATCAAAATGGGGAGAAGAACACAGAACCGAGGAATGTAGGGATGAAACTGAAGAAAGGTGCTGCAACTGTAGAGGCCAGCACAGAGTTATCTATGGGTGATGCGAGGTGAGAAAGAAAGCAGTGGAAATAAAACAACAAAAAATATAAGCTATGCAGAAAGAGTGAAGAGAGTTTAAGGACATAGGACTGGAGAAATGAGAAATAAAAATTAAAGCAAAATAAAGAAGAAAGTGAAGATAATTTCACTTCAATGGTAGAGAAACTAATTCTATTCATAGCGTATCTCATTAACTGCACAGATCAAGCCAAGCATAAGATCAGCGCCAGAGAAGCTGAAAGTTTTTAAGACTCAAAAAAGTTATTTGGAAAAACAAAGTTACGAGGTTGGAGATGTAGGAAAGAACAGGAGCATGCGGAACACAAAAGTTTAAGATATCATTAATAATAAACAGTTATTAGATTAGATAAAGATAGATGATATGGGGTTTAGATGTAAAGTAAAATACCGTAAATTCTCTAATATTGTCCTGTATTCCAATAGCGGCCGGGACTCTAACATTGGCCGGTCTCGCTGTCAGAGGAGGTAAATAATGGCCGGTCTCTAATACAGGCCGGGGCTATAAACGTTTTTTTCTGGGCATACCTCAACATTATACTTGTGGTAGTAAGTAACATACAAGTACCACAGCCCTGCGCTGCTGGACGACAGGCCCTGACTGCTGCCCGTCTGCGCGAGGAAGAGAACAGACACGCAGCAGAACAGGAGGAGCGCGAGTGATGAGGAAATTAAAGGGAGAGATGAAGAGGAGGAGGAAAACTGAGGAGGAGAATTAAACAGAATTGGAGGATTTTTTATTTTTTTTTTACTTCAAACCAAGCGAGACATGGTAACTGTACTTTTTCAATAAATGAACCTAGTGTTTTATAGGTTCAAATAGACACAAAATCTCATTTTTATTCATTCCACTGGTAGTCTGTTTTGCTCAAATAGCAATAGAGGCCTGTCTCTAATTCTGGCCTCTATCCAATAAAGGCCTGGACCGCGATGCACTTGAGTGAAATAAAGGCCCGGGCCTATATTAGAGAATTTACGGTAAATTCATTGGTTAATATCCTGTCAGTTTGTTCCACAATCCATGCCACTAGGTGGCGGTAATGCACTTTCAAATTGTCTGCCAACCGCAGTTAAACTTCACAAAAAAGAGAATACTCAGGCGTTATAGATTAAATGTACCAAAGATTATCAACAGTGAAACAAAATAAAGAACATAATTTGAAAATCAGTTAGATATAAGGTATACTAATGTATTAAAAAAAGCAACCTGGATATTAGTATCAAGTTTAGCAGAAATAAAACCTTATATGTCTGAGTATGTAAAAAGTGAAAAATGATTTTAAAAAGACATAAATAATTTTTTGTTTAATTGGCAAAAGGCAAATTAATCATCAATGTTTATCTTAAATCTTTTGAGTATTTCTTTAACAGGAAATATTGTATTGCTCTGGTAAATATTCCTTTATTTTATTTTTTTAATGTTTTTTTGATCCTCCATTTTTTTCAATCCAAAACTTTATTTAAACGTTGCAGATTACAAAACATTGACAAAAAAGATCACAAGATATAGAACAGTATCTCCAAAATAAGTGTTCAATGATGGAGTACAATTGTGATTAAGATATAATATAATTTAACTTAAATAGATAGAGAATTAAACAAAAAACAAAAACAGGAAAGATATATTACATTTCTCCAAATATTTCCTGAATTACGTTAACAGTGTGTATAAATTTTTTATTGTTGATTCTTTGCATACAATTGAAGATTTTTTTTTTTAAATCATTTTCAAACACAGGGAAAAGGGTCGACCTCTGGAAAATTTGGTTTTGTGTATGTGGAATTTTGCAATTAGAATAATCAAGTTAACCAAGAGTTGCATTTTCCTATCATTATTATATAGTGTAAGATGATATCTATGGCTTGTAATTTAATTGGTGTGTTGGAGTGCGATATGAAGTAAACCTCAACTTCTTTCCAGAATACCTGTGAAAATTTACATTACAAAAATAGGTGCTTAATTGTTAATATTCCTTTATTTTGTGTTTACTGTCTGCACACGATTTCACGTTTCCGCTTTCTACGTCAGATCTGACGTCTTCGTCTCTTAGGCTCCTCCTCCCGGTGAAACTGCAGATATGTGGAATATGTGGCATTTAGTCTGGAAGCGTCTGGATTGAAGGTTACGGCAGATTTCAGCACAAGGACTGCTCCTCTATCGGTCCGTAAGTTTGTTACTTTAATTTGACTTTACTAACATCTGGAAATACAAACTTATTCTTGTGAAAATAAGACAATGTTTTAAAATAAAAACAGCATTTAAAACAAGGAGCTTAATGTGATGCTTTTAAACGTTTCCTCTCTTAAAGTTATAGATAATAATGTTTCAACAAGAAGTTTCCAACCTTTTTCCAGTCATGTTGACCAGCCCGTTTTATTTAAATAAAAAACTTTATTTATATTGGTTTCAATTAAAGGTACACCTTCTTGTTAAGGGAAAAAGGGGTTTTAAATAACTTTTTTTTTATTCATGTATAAATCAAAACATACTTTACAAAATATTGCAGAGTTACAAAAACTTTGAAATAACTTCTTAAAACCCACCTTATTTAAAGTAACCCTGGCCTGTTTTGCATACCCAAATGGAAAAGCAAATAACTGATTAACTGTAAGCCCAAACTACATGTGTGATACATCATTTAAAAGCTTTAAAACACCTTCTAAGTTTCTGAAATATGAAAATAGTGTGACTAAAACTCCAAGTTGTTTTTATTCTTCTAAAAAATAATAGATCTTTTTGGGACAGCAGTAACAAAGGCATGCTTAAGAATAAATGCCCTGTGTCATTTTATTACATTTATTCTGCATCATCTCAACCACAACTGAGAACAAGCTAAAAAAAAAAAGCGTTCCATTGACAAGGACAATAGTACCACACTTCAGAACATCCAAAATAAAGTTTAGACATGTTGACAATATTTCTTCTTGCAAATTTAAGCAGACTCAGTGAGGATTAATACACTTTGAAACTATTCAACAAATTATCAAAACAAAGGAGAGAGTTTTTACAGCCTGCAAATAAAAATATTTACCTTGTCAGATATTTGATTACTGTCAACATGCCGCACAATGTGATTAATGAAAACAGTGGAATATTTTTCATTTTCAGAGATTAAAAGTCTTTAAAGTCGCTGCAAAATTTACTTAAGAAAGGAGATTAAAAATTAGGTTTTAATGGGGATTCAAATGGAAAATGACAGCCTAGGGGGAAAAACAAACAAACATGGGATTAGATTAGAGTTATATGTTCAGGGTCAACTAAATAATCACTACTATTTTTATTTTTGCAGGAGAAAATCCAACCATCGCTATCCATTTTTTAAAATAAAGTAACAATAATTTCTCTTTATTTTAAAATTAAATAGTCATTCATATATTTTTCTGTTTTTCCTTTCTTTTCATAAACAGACTTCTCTGACTCAAACGGGTGTAGATAAAATGAGAAATAACCTGGAAAATGTTCTCCTTTCAGGCATAAAAGTAACAAAATATATTGTCTGGTCTGATATTTTTTCAAAAAATATATGAATAATTTTCAAATCTGGATATATGTGCAAACCAATACTGTGATTTTGGGTTTCTAATTTAAAAACAAGCTGACTTGGGGATGTAATCTGAAACTTTTCACTTTAAATTTGGGAGTTTTTTTCTGAATAATAGGAAGCAGCCTTGTAATCTTTATCTCCTTTCTAATAAAAAAGGGTTTTACTTTGAAATCTAAAGTAATGAAACCTTAGCATTCTGGTATCAGACCTGTAGATGTTTAAAAGCATTGGCTACCTTCTTGGCCTCCCTTTCTAACCTGCTGCTGTTCCTGCACTGATCCCGGCGCTGCAGCCTCAGGCATGGCGCCCTGCAAACATTCCTCCGGGTATTAGTCTGCCCTCCTGTTTGGGTCGAGCTTGTTTGCACAGCTTTGTTTTTGTTTTCTCTCTGTGTGGCAGATGTGGCTATGATTAACGGTTTGTGCTTCAGCCCCGTGGATTGTTGGTGTTGTAACTGCACGCTTTATGAGGGGAGGGGGAGAAAAGAAAAGTATCAGGTTGTAAACATTTCAGTGTCTGAATGCAGAGTCCTTTTTGTTGCAGGGCATTCATAGACAGAGAAACAATGCCAAACTGGGGAGGAGGAAACAAGTGCTCAGCGTGCAGCGGGACGGTGTACCATGCAGAGGAGGTGCAGTGTGACGGGAAGAGTTTCCACAAATGCTGTTTCCTCTGCAGTAAGTACAGATTACATCCTGGAAGGGAACTCTATGCTCCATTGATCACAAAGCTGCACTAAGAGGCTTATCTGCCCAAAAACCTGTGAAAAAAACGTTTTTTTTCTTTATTTAGTTCTTTTATTGAGTCACAGGTAAATTCAAGCATAAATGTTGAACTGAAGGACGTCTCGGTGGATGGTAGAGTTGGATCAGGAGGCGGTCGTCGTTATGGAAATCCATTAACTGCTTACATTTGTTTATCTGGGTTATGGGAGGTGATGCATCTGACTGGTTCCAGCTTCACGGCCATGAAAGGTCATGGGAGCTGATCTCGCTTTCACCTCTTCATCAAAGAGGGGAATTTTTATTCACCACGCTCAGGTTACAGACTTCCTGGTGCCTTTTGTTGAACGGCTCTCATCACATTTATCTGTAGGGACGCATAAAAACCCAAAACCTCCTCAATAAGTTTTCATTTCTAAGCTTATCTTAGAATAGTTTTTTTTTTTTTTTTTTCTGAACTTATGTGTTTATGTGAGGTCAGTAAGAGGTCTATGGAGGTCTTTGTTCCTTAGTTGGAGATTGCTTCATGAATGACATCGTTATTTGTCCAGATAAAGCTCACTGTGGATGAGGGGCCCTCATATGACTCTCTGTTCTCATTCGTTCTCTGGTTGTTTATAGCCCAAAGTCCTGAACATAAAACTGATGATATAACTGCACTGGACGGAAAGAGCAAAATGTATTGATTTTTATGTTAGTAGGAGATCTGAAGGGGATTTATTTACTGCCTTTCATTTAGAGGTATACGGTCCTAAAAACTTCAATTAAACAAAATGTTTTTACAAAAACCCCTTTGAAATCATAATGCAGCCCTTTCTGTTGGTCTTTGTATGGAAGACCATTTTTACCGTTTCCTCCACACACAAAAAATGGCACATTATGTCATTATTTTGACTCATAATTAGGAAATATAAAGTCATTATAGTGAGATACAAAGTAGGGTTTGGAGATTAACTGTAAATAATCGGTTTGTTAGATTTTCATTGTTTCTTGGGCCTGAATTTTGTTGCCCTTTATATTAAGATTACCTCACAGAGGGGATGATGAAATCAAAGCTAGATTTTGAAAACGATATTTCTCATGTATTGTTTTTATTATAAAATTTAAGTTGATTTTATAGGGAAAAAGTTGGAGTTTCCTTTCTTTCTAAGCCATATTTCCCAGCCCTAATACAAAGTGATAATTATATCTAAAGTTATGTTTATAAGATATGAATTATCTCATAAGTGTGACTTTGAAAGGTCAAATTATAACTTTTTCTATCTCAAAATTATGAGTTTAAATCTTACATTTCTGACTTTAAATATTATAAGAATGTTTTAAAGTTTCATAATTATGACTTTGAAAGTTGAAATTATGGCTTGGTATTTAATAATTAGGCCTTTCAGTCTTATAATTATGACATTACATGTGCCAACTTTTTTTTTTTTGCTATCAAGTGGCAGAAATGGGCCTCTGTATGTCACCTCTTAAAACACAATAAAATGCGGCATTACTGGTTTAAGATGACAAAATTAGAATAGATTCATGATTAGGAAAACTTTTGAATGTTCATCGCAGAGCTTCAAATATAAATGCTAATACCATAAGCTTCATTGTTTCTGCTGAGCCGTTTGTCTTGCTAACACTCTGCTAATGTCTGTGTGAGCATAGTGGTCTGCAGGAAGGGTTTAGACAGCACCACAGTGGCCATCCACGACCAGGAGATCTACTGCAAGTCATGCTACGGGAAGAAATACGGACCTAAAGGCTATGGCTACGGGCAGGGAGCGGGGACGCTAAACATGGACCGCGGCGAGCGGCTGGGAATCAAACCAGAGGAGTAAGTTGGCAGTTCCTTTATTTTGGTCTTAGGGTTTCTTCATGAGGTTAAAAACTTAAACATTTTTTATTATTAAATGCATCAAAAAGCAAAACCTCATAGTATCAACATTCTATAAATACAGCATTATCGTCGACGTATTTGGATACTTCTTTTTAATTTAATTGAATTCCGGCACCGTTTTCTTACGTGTTTCATTCTTTAGAATAAAACTCCAAATCATAAAAAAAAGAGCAGTTAATTTTCCTTCTGAAACGCTTTTTTTTGCATTTTTCAACTGCAGCAGCAACTTTTCCACTCCGATTTCCTCCAGTTTTGTGTTCTGCACAACATAGGAAACATTTCCATAAATGTCGGCTCGCGGGACATAATTGGACCATCGCTGCTGTGAGGTCCCCATGCTCTGCGGCTCATCATGTGTAACGATGCTGATTAGATGTGGCTGCTGACAGAGAGCTCACGCCACTGGGTCTAAAGTTCTGCTCTGAAGCAGTTATTATGGCTGAATAAACTATTTCCAACCCTCTTACTGCTCGATGATGGGATATAGAAACGAGTTTGAGTGAATCGGTTCTGCTAAGGTAGCTGAAGGAGACACTTTTGCTCCTTCTCTTCAAAATTACAGCCTGTCAGCTGAAAGGGAGGCTGGAAAAATGAGTTTACTTTATTTTTTTACGTAAAGCATAAACCCACTCACCCAGCGGGTCACCCCATCCCAGCTATCAGGTGATTCATTGTATAATCCTGCTGCTCCTTGGAGTTCCTTAGAGAGGTTCTGCTTCAATATGTTTTAATAACATGTTTAAACCCCCCCGTTCCTTTAAGGACTCACACCCACAGACCTACAACCAACCCAAACCCGTCCAAATTCGCCCAGAAGTTTGGAGGCTCCGACAAGTGTGCGAGATGCGGAGACTCCGTCTACGCGGCGGAGAAGATCATGGGAGCAGGCAAGGTGAGGAACATGTTCCTCCTGATGAAGCTTTTATTTTGGAGGATCTAAGGTGAGGATGATCCTGGAGTTTTTTCTGGAAGGTCGGGTCTTTTCATTTTATAATCACAACAGCAGCCTGCGTAAAGCTTGTGACGTCCTCGTGAGGCTCTGCCGATTCAGAGGAGGTCACAGGGAGGACATTACTCACTTTCAGCAGTACAGGAAGTGGACGAACGTTTGATAACACGCTCAAATGATAATTGTGAGGAAAGGTTTTTCTTAATTTATTTATTTTTTTATTTAAACAGAGGAAAATGCTAAAAGCTCAGATTTATCCCCCATGGTGTGATCAGAAGCAGAGCTGTTCATGGTTTTCCAGCCTTCCAGTCGGTGGTGAAATCCTAACCTGTAATTTCCACAGTAAATGAAGACGTAGAGAAGAGCCCCGGGCTGCTGGGAGATTTCCTTTCATGGCTTTTAATGAAGGAGTTTAGAGTGTTTGACCGACATCTGGAGTTTATTCAAATAACTTACAAATCTCCCTTTTTCTAACATGGAAAAAAAACCTCAATGCATTCATTGTTTTATTTTTCAGGTGATTTTTAAGATGGAAAAAAAGTTGTGATTGTGAAATGGAAAGATGTGTTTTTTCTTAAATCTGAGAAGTGCGGCATGCCTGCATGTTCAAAACCGCAGAACAAGGCTTGGATTTCTTTGTCAGTGAGTGAGAACCATGGTGACTTCAGCAGGAAGTCATGGATGGTTCTTGGTTTCCTCCATAACATCCTAATAGACTGAAGTTTGGTTGTGATCTGACAAAATAAAAAAGCCTTCTAGTGGTATAAATGCTGTTTCTGTACACTCTTACAGTTAGTTTGTTATTTTGCTGATTTGAATGACGCATAACTAAATCAGACTGCTTTGTCTCACAGCCGTGGCACAAGAACTGTTTCCGCTGCGCAAAATGTGGTAAAAGCCTGGAGTCGACGACTCAGACGGAGAAGGACGGCGAAATTTACTGCAAAGGTACGATGGAACTGTAAACACAAGATTCTTTTTAGAAGAAAATTTCATGTGTTCACAGTAACACAGTTTAGTAAAGAAACTGATTTCCGACTCAGAACGTGTTTCTTTTAAACAGCCGTCAGGATGCGTCTCCATCGTAACGCCTTAAGGCTTCTCAGAACATTCTTATCTAACAAAACTGATTATAATCCAGTTTGCTAAGAAGAAAAACATGTTCCACTATCTGTAGACTCCGCCCACTAAAGCGCTCTGACTCAGGTACAAACCTCAGAGATGGCAGCTGTTGCTCTTTGTCATGTCAGACAAGGATTCTTTCTTTTTCCCTGGATTACATCAGATCTGTGCTGTATAGAAACCTCTGCCATTCCACCTCCACAATGGTTCCCCTCTCTCAGCTCCCCACAATGACTCATAATGCTTAAGTTAAACACACAGGAATCTCTCTGCTGCTTTACGTCAGATTGCCTGCCGTCCTCTTAGATATATCTGTCGTCTCCTTGTTCTAACGTAGAATAGTTTAAAACATGAGCATTACACAAAGCTCTCTGTTCACTCCATCCATGTTAACATTCTTTATTCTTCTCTGCAGCTTGTTACGCCAAGAACTTTGGGCCTAAAGGCTTCGGTTACGGCCAGGGAGCCGGCGCTCTGGTCCACGCTCAGTGATGATCCATCTCCTGCTGGAAGATTTCTGCCTGCGTCTCCGTTCAGAAAGCGGGCTTAACTTATTTGTAATACAGGTTTCAGAACAGCTGATAAATCGCACAATTGCAGAGAGTTCATTTCATTTGTCCCTTTACTTGTGACAGTTTAAAGACAATAAAAGCTGAGAAAAAAATCTAAATATATTAAACTAGAAAGTAGAAAGATTTACTAATTTCATAGTATCTGCATTATGTGTGTAGGTGTGACTCAGCATGTTCAAAAAGGACACAGCAAATGTAGTTGAAATGTGAAAAGCAGGTTAGTTATGCAGGTTAGATATGTTTTACCTTTACTAAATTAATTACAGAGCATTTACTGGCTTTGTAAAACAAATGCAACGACATGAAAGGGAGACATTTTTCTGTCTCTAAAGATCTTAAAACTGCTTTACAAGCTGATTTATGGGGGAAATGTTGTTCCATTATTGTTGCAGAGAATGTTTTGTAAAATAAACTGCAGTATAGAAATTAAACCTTTAGTTGTTTACTCTGTTTTTTTTATTTACAGCTTTAATATAAAAAAAATTGGTTTTAGGAACTGCTTTCCTTTAAAATGACATTTTCCTGATCGTTCTCTTCACTTAAGGGGGCGGGGTTTCCTCTGGAATGAGGGGAAACATTTCTATTGGTCTGCTGAGCATTAGCAACCTTTTTATTGGTCAGGACCAAGCATTTGGATTATGTGCGATCTGTACAGTGCAATTGGAATAGAAATGTTTACAAAACATTTTTGAAAATGTGATCTATAAAATTATTTTTTTTAAATCAAAATATGAAAAAGAATTTGAAAAAAAACAAAAAAAAAAAACAAATCCAAAATATTTTAATATATTCAAGGTTTTATTTCTGGATTGCATTTATTTATTTTTATTTTTTTTAATGGAATAAAAGTTACTCCATAAAATTTTTTGAAAACTGAAAAAAAGAAGTTTAATCTAAAAGATTTGAAATCCAGTCACTGGACCATAATGGAGGCAAGATGGATTTTTTTTCTTTTTGTTGTTAGAACAAAATATTGACAGTTTTCAATAAAACAAAAAAACAATGAAAGGACTATTATATTTAGTGCGGGATATGACTGATAATCCAGGATTTAAACAAATATGCTGCAGGTAGAAATATGAACTCACTACAGCTAAGCCTGATTATATTTCTGCCTGATAAATGACTGCAGCTACAACCGTCCCACTAAACACTGTCCAAATAAAAATAATCCACCTCTGTATAAAAAAGTGTGCTGATGTCATCACTATGCAGGCTGAAATGGAGCGCTGCTTTGAAAATGGAAAACCAGTGAGTCCTCCTACAGATCAGGGTAAATTAACCCAATTTGTTTCTAGCTTCCTGAAACCAAAAACCCAGGACATTTAGCCGTTTTCTCCCATTTCCTGCTTTCTGAAACATCTCCTTTAGGTTCTTCAAATCTGAGTTGTGTCATAAATAAAAACATTAACCAAACGCTGACGTTTGACTGTATTTTATTAATAAAGCCATTAAAACTGAACCATGCCCGTATGTTTACATCTGAAGCGGAGTTACAGTGGGATCTGAAGGTGGGCAGAGAGGCACTGGAGATGATTATGTGCTTTATCATTTGATTTTTTTTTCTCTATTATCCCACATGGTGAGGCGATGGAGGGGGTGGAGAGTAGACGTCTGCAGCCGCTGGAACTAGTGAAGTGAGATGGGTTTTTGAAAAGTGGTGACCTCTGCCAGCATTCACTGATGCCCACTCAGTTAAAAAAAGAAAAAAAAAGGCGTTGTAAGATACGAGTCCTGTGTGAACTGCTGCAGGGCGTTGATGGTTAGTACGTGGCGATGCAAACGTTCCGTAGAATATAACCTCTCACGATCCTTAAAACTATCGCATGAGCACATTTCCGCTTTTAGAAAAACAAAAGAAAAGGTTTTTCTGCTTTACAATTTTTACATCCAGTGGTATAACAAAACCCAGCAATGTAGGACGTTAAAAAAAAGAAAAAAAATTTGATTATGACACATTCAAATATATTACACAGCTGTTTGGGATGGAGAAACCTCACTAAACACTCAGGATCTGAAAGAAAAACTGGATGAACATGATGCAGAAACATTTGCAAATACTTAACATTCACTATTTACAGACATGTGGCTTTGCTGGGCTGTCACCATGGTGACCACTATGAAGTGGAGAGGGAGTGGTCGCTGTCCTAGGCGTCATACATGCAGTGGAGAGATTCCAGGTACTATAGACAGCAGCGTCGGACATCACTAAAAGCTACAGTCATACAACATGGATTATAGTAATCTGACTCTCCTTTATGTTTACGTCAACAAGAGCAAAAGAAATGTTAAAACTTAAACCCCCAGGAGCACCTTCAACTAACACTGACATGAAGAAGAAAACAGTTTATGTACAAATGCACATTCTTTACATCTGAGTCCGTCCTGGTGCTGCGGCGGCGGCGCGGGGTCCAGAGTTTTCTGAGGCGACAATGGAAGTGTCGCCGCGCAGCTGCTGGACCTCCTGTTCAGTTACGGCCAAATAAAATATATATTTATATATATATATATATATATTCATAGAACTAAACACGATCAGTGCAACGTTGTAGGCAGACGAGAGACAAAACGAATAAGACTTTACAGCTTTAAAAGAGCAATGTCTGGAATGAGGCTTTCCTGTAAACTTTTCTTTCCTTCTATTTTGCTTAATAAATACACTCACTGTACCTGTCTGTAGTTTTCTACATAGTTATCCACTTTTATTTCAACTAACTGTTTAAAATTCTCTCCTCCTTGATACGTAAAAAAAAAAAAAAAATTCTACAAAGCTAAAATGATGTGAAATGTATAAATGATGGCGCTAGAACATAGCTATTTTCTATAAATAATTTTAAAATAAATAGAGCTGTATCACATTGTCTGGAGGATATCTGCCGTGTTCAGCATGGTCACTGCTGAGGGAGTCCCAGTTCTGCTTCCAGCTTCTTTTAGAAGAGGGGTTGGAGAAAAGAGAGAGAAAATAAAAGTGGGATTCCTCCAACAGTTCTGCAAGTCCTCGTCGGCTCAATTCATAACAGCACGGTGCAAAAAAACAACAAAAACAAAAGACTTTAAAAGACATTCCCCTTTTTTCCACTCTAGAAGTCCCAAATTCACGATTTGCTTTCCTGAAATGCTTCCTTGCAAAAAAAAAAAAAAGTATCATCAGTTAAACCAAAAAAGAAAAACAAAAGGGTGAGCTTTCGTTTAAAATTTCTTTTCTGCTTGTCTCTCTCTCCTCCGCTTGTGTTTGGCAGCGACACACCGTCCAAAAGGCCAAGGAGGGAGGAGATGGGGCGGTAGTAGCAGTGAAAAAGGGCAGGGATGATGATGATGTCTCATAACTGCATGCTTCCCTTAATTCTTCCCCCCCTTAAAGTCTTTTCATCTGCAAAGGAGAGATGGTCCAGAGAAAAAAAAAAAAAAAAAAAAAACTAAGTTGCAGAGAACAGCATCGCGTAAGATACGAACACCATGGAGGGGGAGGGGAGGGGTTAATACTTCCAAAAGCTTTGTTTCCCACTCTTTGCTGCCCCTCCCTCTTTTTCCTCTTCATCCATCGCTTCCTATCTCTAAACCAGCTGGTAGCCTGAGCCGGACGTCTGGTCGTAGTCTATTGTGTACTGCGTGGTCCAGTCCACAGTCACAGGCCTGATCAGGCCACAGCAGCGGATCTCAAAGAAATCTATGAGATTTCTGATGCAGCCGTGGCTAAATGGGGGAAAACAGAACAATTAAATGTCCTTGTTAGCTTTAGAAGATTGGATCACCCAACATCTAACAAAAACTGAATTAGCATCAATAATGAGATTAAAATAAAAGTGGGCCAACAGCAAAACCTTGTGGCACACCTTTTTTAAAGTGTATCTAATTCAGGGGATGAATGAAAACAGAATAAAGCTCACTTGAAGGGGCTTTCGATGGACGTGGCCGTCACTTTAAAGTGCTTGTATCTGCGAGCGTTCATCCGCTCATTTGTGGTGATTCCAAGAGCTGCGATCTGCAAGCCGGGAACAAAAGTAAACCCGCCATTAGAGACACTTCAGAGACAACGGCCTGCTTTCATCTACACTGAAGCTGTACCTGGTAGAGCTGACACATGATGAGCACGGCCACCCACATGAAGTGGAAGATGCTGTTGACGAACATCCAGAAGATCCAGGGGGAGCATGAGGCAATCTGGGTCAGGTAGAGCCAGAAACCATCCTTGGCATAACTGGTGGCGCAGTGCACCCTCCAGTCTGGTGGAGAGGACCAGACAGACAGCAGTTAAGGGCTCTAATAACATCAGGGATGTGGAATATTGGGAAAGACAAAAATTGTAAAAACTTACAGGAGATGCAGCCATAAATCATCCAGCAGATCATACAGAGCAGAAAGAAGAGATAGCCCATGAAGTAGCGGTGATTCCCGCTTCCTGTAAAGTAGAAAGGATTATTTAGATTAATTAAAATACTGTTTAGATTTAGTACACCATAAAAAAGGATTGTTAAGAGAAATAAACTGTGGATAATAGGTGCAGGTAGGTGTTTTTACTGAGGTAATATTTGACAATGAAATACGGGAAGTTTATTTATTTGATCTGAAGCATCACTTTAAAACAGATAAAAGTTAAAAAACCACAAAGATCAAAGAAGCTGCAGTTTGTTCAGACAGTTTCCTCACTTTAAAAGCATCATCCTGACCACGTTATTTGAAAAACAACTTCTTCCTTCCACTGTGGTTTCCTGTCTCTTTTTTTTACAGACAATGAATCAGGTTTGCTTGTTTTTTTTCCCTCTATTCTCTCAAAAGCGCCCCTGCGGTGACATTTAGATAAACGTCTCCATTACTGTGGCCCAATTTTGACTGTTATTAAACCTGTGTGTTTAATAACAGGTGAATTCTGATGCTTACCCACACAGTTCCCCACCCAGGGACAGTGGTGGTCAAACTTAGCGATGCAGCGGTTGCACACGGCACAGTGTTTGGACCGGATGGGCTTCCGTATCTGTAAAAGGAAGAAAAAAAAAAAACAGACATGGAAGATCTCTGCTTTCTTTTCCTCTAAACTGCATAGATTTGAAGCGTTAAAAGGAGGAGTTTACCAAGCAGGTGCTGCAGAATATGCTTAAATCCAAGCTGCCTGTTTCGGCTAACTCCACAATCGTCTAAAAAAGAAAGAAAAACATAAAAAGACACATTAGGAAAAAAAGGGAACAGGGAACATTAGAAAGGTTAGGATTTCCTATCACTTTGGTTGACAATATCTTAGTTTATCTTATATTAGCAGTTAGCATTGTTAGCTTGTGGAAAAACAGCTGCCTCAGTGCGTGTTTCTATGAGAACGCAGAGATTCACTGGAAGCAGATCAGATTGCAGAAATTTTTTTTAACCCGGCATGTTTATCAGCAGATAGAAAACTTTTTTCAGACTTCCTGTTATCTGCTGAAAGAGTTGCTCTCTCTTACCAACGCATTAGCTACGTTGATATGGACACAAATAATCAGATTGAAGGCCTGATCAGATTGAAATTATTTATATAAACATTACAGACTAAAGATTCTACTCTAAATCGGAATGAAATTTCCTTCTGAAACAGAGAGTTGTTTTTTTTGCTAGAGGAATGCTAGCTCCCGTTAGCTTGTCTGCTTGCTGCAGTCAAGAGCTAATGAAAGACGCGGCTTCAGCTCTTTATTTCAGCTCTGCAGGAGTTGCACAGAGTCTTTTCATTGACTCAACAGCTTTATTGCTGTAAATACAGGTGCTGGTCATAAAATTAGAATATCACGAAAAAGTAGATTGATTTCAGTAATTCCATTTAAAAAGTGAAACTTGTATATTATATTCATACATTACATACAAACTCATATATTTCAGATGTTTATTTTGTTTAATTTTGATGATTACAAATGACAACAAATGAAAATCCCAAATTCATCATATCAGAAAATTAGAATATTACTGAAGACCAATAAAAACAAAGGATTTATAGAAATGTTGGCCAACTGAAAAGTATGAACATGAAAAGTATGAGCATGTACAGCACTCAGTATTTAGTTGGGCCTCCTTTGGCCTGTATTACTGCAGCAATGCGGCGTGGCATGGAGTCGATCAGTCTGTGGCACTGCTCAGGTGTTATGATAGCCCAGGTTGCTCTAATAGTGGCTTTTAGCTCTTCTGAATTGTTGGGTCTGGTGTATTGCATCTTCTTCTTCACAATACCCCATAGATTTTCTATGGGGTTAAGGTCAGGAGAGTTTGCTGGCCAATTAAGAACAGGGATACCATGGTCCTTCAACCAGGTACTGGTAGCTTTGGCACTGTGTGCAGGTGCCAAGTCCTGTTGGAAAATGAAATCTGCATCTCCAAAAAGTTGGTCAGCTGCAGGAAGCATGAAGTGCTCTAAAACTTCCTGGTATGTGGCTGCGTTGACCCTGGACCTCAGAAAACACAATGGACCAACACCAGCAGATGACATGGCACCCCAAACCATCACTGACTGTGGAAACTTTACACTGGACTTCAAGCAACGTGGATGAAGTGCCTCTCTTCTTTTCCTCCAGACTCTGGGACCTTGATTTCCAAAGGAAATGCAAAATTTACTTTCATCAGAGAACATGACTTTGGACCACTCACCAGCAGTCCAGTCCTGTTTCTCTTTAGCCCAGGCAAGACGCTTCTGACGCTGTCTGTGGTTCAAGAGTGGCTTGACACAAGGAATGCGACAGCAGAAACCCATGTCTTTCATACGTCTGTGTGTGGTGGTTCTTGAAGCACTCACTCCAGCTGCAGTCCACTCTTTGTGAATCTCCCCCACATTTTTGAATGGGTTTTGTTTCACAATCCTCTCCAGGGTGCGGTTATCTCTCTTGCTTGTACACTTTTTTCGACCACATCTTTTCCTTCCCTTCGCCTCTCTATTAATGTGCTTGGACACTGAGCTCCGTGAACAGCCAGCCTCTTTAGCGATGACCTTTTGTGTCTTGCCCTCCTTGTGCAAGGTGTCGATGGTCGTATTTTGGACAACTGTCAAGTCAGCAGTCTTCCCCATGATTGTGTAGCCTATAGAACTAGACTGAAAGACCATTTAAAGGCTTTTGCAGGTGGTTTGAGTTAATTAGCTGATTAGAGTGTGGCACCAGGGGCCATCAATTTTGAACCTTTTCACAATATTCTAATTTTCTGATATGATGAATTTGAGATTTTCATTTGTTGTCATTTGTAATCATCAAAATTAAACAAAATAGACTTCCGGGTCAGCGCTGCAACAAGATGGCCACGTAGGAACAGGCTCCTCCGTTTCGGTATTTAAATCTCCCCCCTTGCTTATTTCAGATAACTATCAAAACTTCAGTCTAAACCATTTAAAGGGGGAAGATGCCGAAAATTAACAAGACCGAAAAGAAGACGTCTAAAACACAAGATTTTGGTGAGCAGTCGGGAGATGGTAGTGAGGATGAGGCTAACGCTGCTACTAGCAAAGCTAGCGTTGGCTTACAACAGCACGCGTTGCTGGAGAGTATCAAGATGCTTTCTAAAGACTTAAAAGAGTTTAAAAACGAGATGAAGCAAGACATAGAAGAACTCAAAGAAGATGTAAAGGCAACAATGAAAGAAGATTTCAACAGATTCAGGGAGGAAATGATGCGCGAACTACAGAACCAGAAGGGCAGTATCAACGAGGCGCAGACCCGAATAGCTGATCTGGAGGCGGCGTGCTTGGAAATGAAAGATGCGCTGCTTGTGTCATTAGAAAGCAACAGAGCTATGAACGACAAACTTGTGGATTTGGAGAGCCGAAGCCGGAGAAATAATCTTCGCATCTATGGAGTTCCGGAAGGTAAAGAAGGTAGATCGGTTTCCGAGTTTGTCGCCAATCTGCTGATCAAACAGCTGAAGCTTCCGGAAGGAACTGAACCACAGATTCAGCGGGCACACCGAGCTCTGGCACCCAGACCGCCTCCCAATGCGGCCCCGAGGTCTATAATTGTGAATTTCTTGCAATCCAACACAAAAGAAATGATTCTGAGAAAAGCCTGGGAACAGAAAGTGGAGATGGAGGGCAAGCGCCTTTACTTTGATAACGATTATGCTTCGGACGTTATAGAAAAACGTAAAGCATATGGCCCATTAAAGGCAGCCTTGAAGCAGAAGGGCGTCAGATTCCAGACGCCGTTCACAAAGATGAGAATCTTCTGGGACTCTGGAGTGCGGACCTACCAGAACGCAGATGAAGCAGCGTCGGATATGATCAAGAGAGGCTTCGACTTGACCTGGGTACCAAGAGAGAACAAGTTGAAAGTGACCAAGGAGAGGCTCGACTCACTGTTACCATGGAAACGGATCAACAACACCGGTGCAGGACAACGCGCGAGGGAGATGCTCAGAGTTCAGACGTGAGGACCAGTAACTCTGAACATTGAATCATAACAGGTTTGCTCTACTATAAAAAAAAAAAAAAAAAAAAAAAAAAAATTAAAATAACATACGGGCGATTTAAGAGCTGAATGTCTTTACCAGCTGGTTTTAGTCCGGTTTTGGATATTATTCTCCCCTCTGTTACTGAAGTTATTGCTCATAGGTCTTTTGATAGATATTTAAACAAAGTGCCGAAAGGAGTGAATGTTGTATTGCTTACCAAATGTTGGACTTACCTAGTACAGGTAGATCTCCGTCTACTACTAGAGGGGGCCCCCACCCTAGTGTGGTACATTGCCCCCACCCCACCAGCAGGGACACTGAGGGATGTTTTCATACATCTCCACCTTTGGAAGTTTCTGTTCTATTTGTTCATCTGTGTTTTAATAGCCTGTTCAGCTATTTGTTGGGGGATCTTTTTCTAGAATCACACAGTGACCTTACAAAACTAAATAATGACTGATATTATCAAGATAGTTTCGTTGAATGTGAATGGTATGAATAACCCTATAAAACGTAAAAAAATTCTAACTAAAATGCGAAAAGAGAAAGCACAGGTAATCTATTTACAGGAGACGCATCTGTCTAAATCGGAACATAAAAAACTCAGGGGCTTTGGCTACTCAAAGGTAGTTTACAGCTCTTTCAGACATGGAAACAAAAGAGGAGTTTCAATTCTAATTCATGATTCAATAAAATTTGATTGTATCTATGATCTGTCAGATAAAGAGGGGAGGTATGTGATGGTGAAGGGGACTCTAGACAATGTAATGGTAACACTGGTCAACGTTTACAATCCTCCAAATAGTAATAAACAATTCCTTAATAGCCTCCTCAACAAAATAATTATGGAAACAGAGGGAATGTTGGTTTGGGGAGGGGATTTCAACATGGTATTAAACACAAAACTTGATACAACAAATAGTAAAAAACAACAAAATTCAACTACAAAAAAATTTAAATTGACACTTGAGGAATTTGGATTTGTTGATGTCTGGAGGGAATTAAACACCAATGTAAAGGACTATACCCATTACTCAGCGCCTAATAAGTTATTCTAGAATTGATTACTTTTTCATGAATAAATCTGATATATATAAGATAAAGGAATGTAAAATAGAAGAAACAAGTATATCTGATCATTCTTCGCTAATAATAAAACTAAATTTATCTTCTGAAAAACGCAAAACAGCATGGCGATTAAATGTAGGCTTGTTGAACTCCAAAACAATCAAAGCCGGAATTTCCCACGACATAAAAACTTACATAGATGAGAATGACGATGGACAGGTTAATCCGGTGATATTATGGGACGCACTTAAGGCAGTATTAAGAGGAAAATTGATCTCAAAAACAGCGGCCTTTAAGAAATCTAGAGTGGATGCCTATGAAAAAGAAAGAGCTCAACTAACAGATCTGGAAAGACAACACAAATTAACCCAAAATCCCAACCTGTTAATAAAAATAAAAGAACTAAGAAACAACATTGATAAAATGCTTACATATGAAATTGAAAAGAAATCAAAGTTTATTAAACAATCATATCATGAGGTGGGACCTAAAGGAACAAAACTGTTGGCAAAGAAATTGAAAAAGCAACAGTCAGATAGACATATCTATAAATTAAAGGATGATGAAACAAATCAAATGATACATGACCCAGCAACTATTGAGGACAGGTTTATGAAATACTACCAGAGATTATATAGTCAGCCTCCCTCTGCTAATGATGGACAGATAGAAACCTTCTTGGAGTCACTGGATCTGCCCTCAATTGGTGAAACCCAAAACAAACTTCTCACTTCCTATATAACTAGGATAGAAATACAAAAGGCAATTAATAGGTTAAAAAATGGTAAAACACCAGGAAGTGATGGACTGCCATCTGAGTGGTTCAAATCCTTCAGCGAAGATCTCCTACCACTACTAGAAAAATAATTTAATTATACACTGGAACATGCAGTGCTCCCGCCATCTTGGAGAGAAGCAATCATAACAGTCATTCCGAAAAAAAGGAAGAGTGAAACATGCTCTGATTACAGACCTATATCCATCCTAAACATGGACTATAAAATCTATACCTCGATTTTAGCGAAACGATTTGAGCAATTCATTGGAGATATCATAGATGAGGACCAGACAGGATTTATTAAGGGTCGCCAAACGCGAGATAACATCAGAAGGGCACTTCACATAATAGACCATATTCAAAATAAAAAATCATCAGCTATCTTAATCAGTCTCGATGCGGAGAAAGCTTTTGACAGCGTAGGCTGGAACTTCTTATATAAAGCACTTGGAAAATTTGGCTTTAATGAAAAAGCTGTACAGTGTGTGAGGACTTTGTATCAGTCACCTGTGGCCAGAATCAAGATTAATGGAAATCTAACTGACAATATAAAACTAGAGCGCTCTACCCGTCAGGGCTGCTGTTTGTCACCAACTTTATTTGCAATTTTTATTGAGCCACTGGCACAACACATAAGACAACATAAGGATCTTAAAGGTATAGATATTCATAATGAGTCCCATATAATAGGTTTGTTTGCAGACGATGTTATTTGTTATTTATCAGACCCTGAAAACTCGCTGCCTTGTCTGATCAACCAGTTAGAGATATTTGGCTTCTATTCAGGATACAAACTAAATTTGAAAAAGACACAGGTTTTGACATTCGCTTATACACCATCTGAATCAATACGTAGAAAATATAATTTAAATTGGAGCTCTACTATGATGACTTACCTAGGAATACGATTAACGAAAAACATAGGTGATCTGTACAAAGCTAACTTTACTAAAGTGGACCAAGAAATTAGGAGGGATATTAGAAAGTGGGATGTCCTAACACTAGACTTCAGCTACAGAATTGAAGCGATAAAAATGAACATGTTACCAAGGTTATTGTACCTCTTCTTGGCATTACCTATAGAAATCCCGGATAGACAGTTTAAAACATGGAACCAGATTATTTCTAGATTCATATGGAACGGTAAAAAACCCAGAATAAAATTTGAAACTTTACATATACCAAAGGAGAAAGGAGGTAGGGCCTTACCTGACCTTAGAAAATATCATTATGCTGCCCAAATAACTCCCATAATAAATATAAGTGACATAAATTATGAAGCGAAATGGAAAAATATTGAACAAAGAGTTAACGGAAGAGAACTGCGGAGTATCATTGGTGATATAGAGGCCACTAAGAATACATTAAAGAATGTTAATGCCATTACTAGTTTTTCTCTGGGTAAATGATTACATATAATCCGAATATGCAAATTAGAGAAACAGTTGGGTCTGATCCAGTGGCCAGCCTATAATAAATATTTTATCCAAGACACACGATTTAAACAATGGTCAGAAAGAGGCTTAACAGCGTTATGCGTAGTCCTTAACAATGGGCACTTTAAAAGTTTCCAGGAACTACAGCAAGAGTTTGCTCTAAGAACTCAAGATCACTTTAGATATCTACAATTAAGGGACTTCTATAACAAAGAAATAAAACAAAAAATAGACCCAAATTTAAATGGGATTATCAAAATGCTGATTGAGACCTATAAGGGTAAAAAACAAAGAACAGTGTCTTTACTCTATAAATATCTGTTAGAAAATAGAGGCACTAATACATTGAATATTAAAACAAAATGGGAAAGGGAATTTGATATTCTAATAACCGACGAAGGCTGGCTGAATATTTGGAAGACTCAAACTACAACATCCTCTTCCAGAATCTGGAGAGAACATTGTTGGAAGAATATAATCAGATTTTATATAACACCCAAAATTACTAGTAAATTCAAATCTAGAGCTCAGCCATGCTGGAGAGATTGTGGAGAATTTAATGTTAATCATGCGCATATTTTCTGGCTTTGTCCTAAAATTACTCAGTTCTGGAACGAAATACACAGTAAGATTGTAACAATACTGGGTTACCCAATACCCAAGTCCGGTCTGGTATTATACCTTGGTCTTTTGGACAATATCATATTTAATAATGATTGTTATTTGTTAAAAATTCTGTTGGTGGCAGCTAAAAAGGTGATAACCAGGAGGTGGTGCAAATCTGAACCTCCTACCACAAAGGAGTGGATTCAGACTGTGATTTCATTATTTGAGATGGAGCTTCTAACACATAGGCTGAGGACGCAGGAGCAGCAATGCTTAGACAAATGGGAAAAATGGACAAACTTCACATCAACGATACCGGACTAATTTTGGAAATGGATGGTCCCCACGTGTTTTGAGTTACTAAAATATGAGCCTCCCCCTGTTTTTTTTTTTTTGTTTGTTTTTTTTTTTTTGCTTCGATTGTTCTGTACTTTTTGTCTATTATAGTTTCTATGTATTGTTTGTTAATAATGATTAAAATAAAAATAAAGTTATAAAAAAAAAAAAAAAAAAAAAACATCTGAAATATATGAGTTTGTATGTAATGTATGAATATAATATACAAGTTTCACTTTTTAAATGGAATTACTGAAATCAATCTACTTTTTCATGATATTCTAATTTTATGACCAGCACCTGTAAATGACAAAATGTGTGAATTCCGAACATGTTCTCCACCGTGCCTGGTGCTAGCATGAATCAAATGAAAATCAGCCCCTTCTTTGATTTACACCCCCTGGTGGTTGGGAAAAAATCCACAGGAAAGCCATCACCTTCGTATAAGCCACATGGTTCAAAGCATGGGGAAAAAGTAGCAGCTTATAGTTTGGAAAATATAGTAAATTAATTAATCTGATGGAATACTTGGTACACGTATACACGTCATGATCGTATAATTTTATTTAGTGTCCATGTTAGCAGAGAATTTCTGATCAACCAAGCTTTAGATCAGAACAGGGATATTTTGGACAGGTAAATGTAGCTATTAAACTACCAAAATGCGAACCCCAAAAATGCGTTTCCTGTCACTGATTTAATTTTTAAACTTTATCCTACTTGGTAGCAATAAGGTGTGGTGTGTTCATCGTTTAAAAAAAAGCTTGGATTTCTTTTTTTCTAACCCTCCAGTCACCGTTAGTTTGCAGGACCATTCCTGGCTGAATTTAACAAAAATTGCTGGTTTTTTTTTGTTTTTTTTTAGCACGTCAGTGAAAAAGTCATCAATGGTGACGATTTCCCCATGGAATGTGAAAGAAAGCCTCGTTCACAGGGGCCCGTTAAGAGGGAGAAATCCTCCTCCTCTCCATTACACAGTGATAATGAGGAACAGAAAGGCCTGAAAGCAGCAGGGCAGAAAATGTGAAATGTTACATAACGCTGCATGAAACACACAGCCAAGGCTGTAATTCATCCTCCCCAAACCGTAGACTGTAAACACCCCGATAATTAAGTCTGGATACCTTTTTCTTCTGCTCCTCTGATGCCTTAATGATTCCTGGGTCGGATTTCCAGGATTTGCCAAAGTTGTAGAACAAAGCCAGCGTGTTGATCAGGAAGGGGACGTGAACCGTGGCAAAAGGGAGATGTGCAGAGGAGTCAAGGTAGATATTAAAAACAGAGAACAATCAGCTAGTTTATCACAGGATCAATTTATTCTGGGCTCTCATTCAAACTAAATCAGAGCTTCTTGGTTCTCTGAGGAACAGAAATACAGCAGAAGCTTGGATCTGCTTATCTGGATTGAAGTGTACTGTGCCTTTAAAACCAAAGTATTGCTACAAGTCTAAGTCCGACTGTTAGAGGTCTGATTGGTCGATGAAAATGTACTTTTTCATCTTAGAGCCTGCAGTAGAAGTCAGACCTTAAAGGAAACCATGGCCGTTTCTCAATTCACAAGAACGCGAGTATGGACTTGTGTTCTCGCCAAGTATCTTATTTAAAAACAACAAAGGAAAGTATGGACTTAGTGAGAACGGGAGCACGCAGCATAAATGTAGGTTACCATAATTGGAAGAAAGGCATACTCCTGACGTTGCCACACACTCGGCTCGTCTGGAGCTGCATTTCACCTCCTGTTATTAATAGTCTCTAGGTAATAAATGTTTCCTTTTTTCATTTAGTGGGGGAACTATAATTAACACAGTCAGATAAACACAAATTAAATGAATGTTTTGCCAAATAAAACTTTTAACTTAATACTCGTGGTGCATGCTGGGACTCCCAGCCACAAGTACAGAGCAACAAAATGAACTCTCTCCAGGGGATTTCTTGTAGGCTGCCTTTGTGCTGCGCCCCGGGGAGTAGGGACCCAGAGTGGCACTCTGTAGGAGTGGGGCTTTAACTCAGAACCTGTGGATTCCAAGGGCAATGCCCTAAACCACTAGGCCGCCACTCCACAAAGCAGGCATTAGTGTGAAGGGTCTTGCCTGAGGACCCACACTGGCAGCTCATTCCCTCCAGCTGGGATGCAAACCAAGGTTTCCTGTTTGCTAGCCGCTGACAGCTGTCAATCTCAAGAACAAACAAGTCTGCTCTGATGCATGCTGGGTAAAGAGGGAGGGGCGAGAGCAATATCCGGGGACTTTGTCCATTCTCCTTCTTGTGTTCTTGTGAATTGGAACAGTACTAGGACTGAGGCTTATGTTTCACGAGTACACGAGCACATGAGAACGCACAAGTACACATACCGAGAAATGGCTTGTTAATCAGTATTGATCTGTAAAAAGAAAATAAAGTAAAAGTTTGGCATCTAGACTTGCCTTTTTTACTAAAACAGAAGAGGAAAGTATCTTCAAGAAACTTCAGAGTCTGAGTTTTGATCATTACTCAGACACTCAAGGCAGCTGTCTTTCAAAACACCCACTTCAACTGGAGACACAGCTTTATGTCGTAACACCTTATCCCCGCCTCCTTCCAACAATAGATTCATAAACCACAAACCATTACTCTTCTCGCTCAGGGGAAGAAACGTATCCAGCTTTGTCTACTGCTTTATTAAAACAATTCCTGGAACTAACAGCAGACAATCACTGACGTAATAAACAGCTTTCCTTCTATGAGTTAAAGGCAACATGACCTCAAACTGCAGCAGGATTAGTTAAATACATTCTGAAGAAACGCTCGATCATCCACTGAGGGGAACACAGGGATGTTTCAATCCAATTACAAACAATGATGTTTAGAGGAATCAAGATGAGACTTTCAACCCTTTCAACCTATTATTAAAGCATGGTGGTGGGAGCACCATGTCGGGAGCAATGCTATTAGAATTAGTTCCTATTTAGGTACTCTGAGAGAATAATGATTCCAACATTAAGGAGGAGAAAAGGAGAAAATATTTTATAATCTTAAACAAAAAAACGATTTTCAGAGTAACTTTGCCGTTTTGTCAGATTTAGTTTATATATATATATATATATATATATATATATATATATATATATATATATATATAAATAATAATAAAAAAATACACAGAAATTTGATTTATGAAAAAAAAAAAAAAAAATTCCATCAAACTTCTCTTTTTATAATTGCGTTTTCCAGATCACATTCTCTTCACTTCTGGGGGCGGGCTTTCCTCTGGAGTGAGGAGAGAAGACGCATTTCTATTGGTCTGCTAGACATTAATAACAACATAGCTATTGGTCAAGAGTGAGCGTTTTTATTGGGCTTAAAGTGATGATAATTTGATCTGTAAAATGAAACTGGAAAAGAATGTAATTTGTGAAAAAAAACTAACAAAACAGAAAAAATGAAAATATTAAATCAGTAAAAAAATGTAAACATAAGTTTGAAAAACAAACCCGAGAAAACAGCTAAGGGACTCTCAAAACCTTATTTTGAATCAGTAGGTTTTTAAAGTTTAAATTCTGGATTCCTTTTTGTTTTGTTTTTTTTGGGGTTTTTTTTTTTCTTCAAATTTCTATTCACAGTACTGTGTTTTTGCTTGCACAAAATGGAACAAAATTCATTCCATATATAAGCAGCTTCACAGTTATTCATTTTGAAGCTTCAGACCCTATGAAACCATCTCAAAAATAGCCAGCAAAATAAAAAAAATAAAAGATAAAAGACCTGGCCAGTGAAATCGCAATTTGACTACTTAACATGTTAGTAGAATTTCAATTCTTCTTCAAACACCTAACCCAGATTACACTCTCTCTAGGTCTAAAAACAAACAGCACCGACGCTAACGAGGACATTTTCCAATGGGCACATTTTACTTTTTCTTTTTTGAAACTGTGAATTTTGGTTTAACCACCACTTTACTTCAGAGATACCATCAAGAAGACAATGTTTAAAATGACTTAACTGGTTAAAAGAAAAAAAAAAACAGGCAAATCTGCAGATTACCCACAAAGCAGTGGAAAGACGAAATGTGATGAGGTGTTAAAGGCTGATAATTAGAATCCAGGTCGTCTGCAGGTGTGTCGCAGTGAAGCAATACAATCAGTTAAACGTTTTAATAATCATAGCAATTTTGAAAGTTCCGTTTAAAATCCTCTAAAGGTAGTGAAACACGTAGCCAGAATCACAGCAGTAGCTAACGATAGCTAAGCTGACATCTTAAAATCCACTTTTCCAGTGAAGCTCATGTGGTTACATCCAAGTAAGTTCCTTCCAGTCCTCATCTAGCTCTCGTTGAATGCATCAGCTCAGCTGTGTACATTTTTAAAGAACAACCAAACTAATCTCTGCAAGTAGCTACAAGCTAAAACTGAGGCTGACGGGAAGGAGCACAAACAGTTTTAAAAAAACACATGTCAACATGACTAATTATCCTTTTAGCATCACTTTATCGCTCTCTCTATTCACGGAGGAATTGACGTGTGCAAACATGTCTGCTCAGCAGCGTAAAAGCAACTTTGATGAACCGCTACAGACATCATGTTGACACAACAAGTTATCTGCACTTTTTCTGCTCGATAAGCTCAGCTCAAATGCTGCTGCATTCAGAAAAGGATATCGTTCCAAAACCAGTAGAACCAGGTGCAGTACATCCAAAACTTGGTTGCAAGGTAGATTCCCAGAGGCAGAGCGCTGTGCATGGAGTGGTCGAAAAAAGCCCTTAGAGGAAAAGAAAAAAAGGTCATTTGTGTAGCTCTGAAGCTATTTGAGTTTATGACACTATGGTCTCTATGTACTTAAAAAGAACCTGTCTGAAAAATAATCTGATTTCTGTGCACAAAATAAAGATGATGAAACTGCAAACTGTATAAGAAGCACGGTAAAAAGTTGTTTAGTTGGGACGTACTTGGAGAGGAACTGCACAGCGATCCAGACACCAGCGTACATGATGCCCTTGATGAGCCAAGAGTCCACGTCCAGGTCGGCGATGAAACCCACCAGCCAGATGACGACGAAAGGCGTCCCCAGCATCACTTTCTGCCTGAACTCCTTCATCGTCAATACAGACGGGGAAAAAAGGAAGCAGATAATTCAAAAACAAATATGCACATGGATTAAAATATTTTCTGTGGGGAGAATTTTTTTTTCTTTCCTACAATTGGATACAATTCATTTTAATTTAAGCATGCACTAAATATTTAAAACTAAAAAGCTCTGCAAGGACCAACCAAGACAATCTGGTTTTATTTTGAAGGGAATTAAAGGATTTATGGAGCAGGTCAAAGGTTATTAATGTCTACATTTACTGCTCTCTAGAACAGGGGTTCCCAATGAGTTTTTTCTTTTTAAATAATGTTAATGTAACCCATGAGGGATATGGAAAACATAAAATAAAACATAGAACAAATATCTAGTTAAATAAAGACAATATTAACCATACTATTAAAATGCAAAATGTGCAATTAAACAGAGATGGGTAGAGTATCCCAAATTGTATTGAAATAAGAATAGTATTATTATTACAATGTGTTTTTACTCAAGTAAAAGTAAAGAGCAGCTGTTTAAGAAATGAGGAAATTAATGAGAAGTATTTGGTAAAAAAGCTGCTCAAGTAATATTTTAAAAATGCTCTGCAATAAAATAATTACAAATATATCTAAAATGATGAACCCCATAATATTTAAAAGAAATGCATTTAATATTTTAAATGTATAAATAAATATAGAGGGAACTAATTCTATGTATTTTAGGGGGTCTTCAGTCTGAATAGTTTGGGAACCCCTGATCTAAAGCAGGATATCTGATATCCAGAGGAAGCAATCTAAAATGACTCATCCTATCTTCAAAGCAGATTTACCTTCAGGAGCTAATATTCCAACAGGTGAGCGGGAAGACCAAACAGTTTCAGCAGAATTAAGAAGAATAACAGTGGAAACTGTGAATCAGAGGGCATGTTTTGGCTGGTTCAGCCACTCTTTGGGTAAGTTTACGGTTGGCATCAAATATAGGCATGTTTTAACTCCTTTATAAGCCTCTAAGGGGTCAAACAAAGAAAAGAGGAAGGAACTCTCCCAGCTGCCTGGTTGTGGCTGAAATCCCTGAACAGCCTCATTTTAACAACTTCCTGCTTCTCTAACCCAAACTTCCTGTGAACCAGCTACATTAGCTGTTTGTACCTTATCCATCTTCAGTCTCTTCAGATAGGACGGGCTGTCGTAACCTTTGGCCTGCCGCGCTTCCTGTAAGTGATTGATCATCCACACATTCTTCCTCTGCTTGGCCAGGTCCAGAGGTGTTTCACCCTAAAGATGGAAGAGAGAACAGTCAAGAAAAATCAACCTGGCAGCAAAAAAAATGTAGCTCTGTTTAAGACAGTAATAGTTAATCCCAATAAAAAGCTGTTTTTTTATAAAATATTTAGTCACGTACATAAGGGGAGACATTTCAGGGATATTTTTATTTTAGGTGAAGGTTTAGGTGCTGGTTTCAACCGCATTTTTTTCCTTCCACTAAACTTTCCTTTAAAAATGTCTGGATCCCAGCTTCTTGTGGTTTTGTAGATAGTAACACCATTCTGCTTGTTTCTTTAAATAACTCATCTTTAATGAGGTTATTATTTCCTGAACCACTGAATTTAGGATTTAGGTTTTTTTTAGAATTAGCTGTAAGAAATAATTCAAAACATAGAAATGAACCCATGAACTTGAACTTCACTAATAAAATAAACTGACATCTTGATCATAATATCTGCCTTTTGTCTGTTTGAGCACGGCGGGAAGCATCACCTTGATGTTCTGGGCGTCGACGTTAGCGTTGGCGTCCAGCAGAAGGCTGATGACGGTGCTGTTACCGGCCAGGACGGCCCAGTGCAGCGCCGTGTTTTTGTGATACTTGTCGCCCAGGTTGACAGAGACGTTAAAAGTCAGCAGCAGCCGGGTGGGGTCCACGCTGCGGCAGGGGGGAGAATCAAACATTTAGAGTGATTGTTAGCCTGATGTCTTAATTAAACAAAACCACATGTGATGATTTTACGCTGTTCAGCTTTTTTATATATAGAATAAAATAAAATAAAACACAGTAGAATCATTCATATGTTGGAAATGAGCTCTGATAAAACTGCAGTAATTTCTCTTATGACTGTTTCTTGTGTAAAAACAGGCAAATGTCCAAACAAACACACCTGTGTGTCCTGTAGGCTGCCCACATAAGAGGAGTCATGCCGTTCTGATCCATCATATCCACATCCTGCAACAGAAAAAAAATAAACCATAACATCACCGAGGAATCAGCAAGGGTGTTCAGAGAGAGAAAACAGGCTCCCCCTGGTGGACAATACTAGAAAAGACTGAATCCTAAGAAAAATGATGACAGTTGTAAGAAACCAAATATTGATTTTTTTTTTTGTTGTTGTTTATTAATCTTACTAATTAGCTCATTCTGATAATAACTAGTTAAAATTAATCGGTAATAACTCCCAGTTAATTATTTGTGCTCTGCTTTCCGGACTCATTTATAATGAATGTTTTTAAAAAATAAGCTTCATTTCAAATGACTTTACGACACGAGGTAATTATAATTTCTCTGAGTATGTCTGATAAAAAATCAGTAATGGAGAGAATGTCTAACATCTAATTCTCTCAGAAAAAAAGATTAAATGATTTTTATAAGATTTAATTTAGCATTTTTATTTATAAAAAAAAGTAGTTTGAGTGTCGTAATTACATTATTTATGGCGACCTGGACCAATATCTGTGCAACAGAGGTTATACTGTAGAGGTCTGGCTTTTTTAAAGGAAGGGAGACATGATTACAGGGCTAAAATTGCATGTTAAGGTCTTGTTAGCCATTAGCATTATTAGTAGCCATATTAGTGTATTTTTGAGAAAATAATAGATTTCTTAAAGGATTCTATTTAAGAATCTTCACTTTTTAGGGAATACTTTTTTTTAAATAGTAAAAAAAAAAAAATGTGTAAGAAGCTAATCCAGGCTTCATTGATTTCCTAGCTAGTTCAGACTCAGATCGCTTATCAGTTGGTACCAGATGGCGTTGTTTCCTTCCTCCTACCTGTCCTTTGGCGATGAGGTATGCCACGATGGAGGTGTGGCCAAACTGGGCGGCCAGGTGGACACAGCTGCAACCTTCCCCATCGATCAGAGACGGGTCTGCGCCATATTTCATGAGCTGCACCACCATGGATAGATGGCCTTGTCTAAAATAACAACCAAAAAGAAAAACTCTCACTGCTAGAAAGCAAGGTTTTCGAAAAATGTTCTCAGTGGTTATAAGCTCCTAAAAGGTCACTGTCAGCTGGTGATAGGAGGGGGGAGGGGTGGGGGTGAAACAGGACCCCTCTGCTCCAGACGATGAGGGGTCTGATGTTCCATCAATAATTCAGGAGATAACGCAACACCCCCCCACTTTGTGCTTGGTGTGGTGGTGATCTCATGTGACTTTCCAAATGGTCAAAAATCAGTGGACATCACAGAAAAGTCACATAGGGCCTGATTTAATGGCTTCTTCAATAAAACAGTGAAAAAAGCAAAAATGCAGAATACCTGCAGTTAGTTTACGGGATGAACGGTTTGGATGAAACCTCTTCAAAAAAAGGCATGTTTAGTTATATAGATGAGAGTTTGAAAAGCTAACCAGCTGAGCACTGCTGGTTAGCTTCTACCTGTAAATAGCTTCAATTATGACTACTGTTTTTTATTGCCTCTGTGTATTTTTTCACCCTGCTGCTGTAACATTTGTATTTCCCCACTGTGGGATCAATTAAGTATTCTGATTCATAAAATCCAAAAGCTAACTGCTGACCACAGAACTTGACCTATGGTTATAAAGTACTTCCTGTTTACAGCCTCTGCTCTAAACTTTAAATCTATTAATTCCTGAATAAATGGAGCTTTGCTCTGCATCTGCAGACACGTTTTCCCTGCACCACTTAACAGGAAATGCAGAGTTACCTAAGTGATTGTTTATTTTCCCATAAAAACTAATCAGGCGCAGGATATGAACACAAGTATTTTTCTGTCCTGCTAAGTGTGAACACACAAACCTGCTGGTGAGAAGTGATTTAATGCAGGCAGCTTATCAGAGTGTTTACCTTGTGGCCCAGTGCAAAGGTGTGGAGTTGAGGTCTCCTCCCAGCTGGTCAACTATGGCCCCCTTTGATATATAGTACCTGCAAACAAACACAGTGTACTGAAGAGAAACATGACACTTTGTCTAACAGGGACTCCATCTTATCAGGGTTCAGCCTCCATAAACCGCTGCAAACAGGAAATTACATTTATGGGAAAAATAATGAACTGAGGAGCTAAATGAAAAGACTGCAGAGGAGCTTAAAGAAGTGAAATCTGATAGCAGCTGCTTCAAGATCAGCTTCAGACATTTCTCTAAATTTTTAAATAAATTGGTATAAAAATACCAAGAAAAAAAGCATGCAGACCTACAGCACTACCGGCAGCACAGACTGAAAACTACAGAAAACAAACAAAACAGGAGAAAACATAAACTAGACAGTGTCCGCATAAAGGTCTTTACAAAGAACTGAATATTATGTAATATGCAGATTATGTCATTTTTTCCAAACTCCAAGTTTGACATTGAAGTCTCAAAAATCATCAGCAATCCCATGTACCGATGAGGGGATTTAAAAAAAAAATCAGCCTTTTACTAAACTCTCCTAAAAAAAGGTCTGCATTTTATTTTCTAAAGTCCATCTACTAAGTATTTTTCTACATTTCTTGTTGAAAAAAGGAGGAGTTCCAGTTTGCACATTTAATTATACTGGACTCTACTTTATCAGGGGGGTAAAAAGTATATCCAGAATTGTTAATTTTAATATTCATGAATTCAGATAAATCAGGTCATCATTGGCAAAAAATGCTGATAAAATGTTTCTTATTTGTACTACTTATTTTACCACATTTTCAAAACTGTATTACTAACTGCTCGTTGACAAACTTGACAACCTTGAAAACGAGCTTTAAAAGCATCCGATAGAAAACCTGTTCTTTCATCAATGCCTCACTCTCCAAAAACACAGTATTCTTAGTTTTGAAAATTTCAGAAAATTTGAAATTGCCTGCTCAATGTTAGTTTTAGTGGATTCTCTCCATCACCTCTAGGAGTTTATTAAGCTTATATCCAGTCTTAATGGAAAGATAACATTAGTGTTTACCAGAGGTTACTGTGTAATACCTCACAGATGCACATCTAGTCAACAGATTTATCCGTTAGGGGAAGAGAAATTTAGTGCTGCTATAACTCTACAACATTCAGTTTGTTGAAAAGCAAATATAAAAAATGGCTTAAAGGGAACCAGATCTGGATCACTGATGTCAGATTATCCTGTTAAGTATTGTTGATGTTCCAGTGTTTTTATTTTATTGTCCACTCTTATTTTACTTTATTTATTCCTGTAAATATGATTCAATGTTTAACTGATTAATTGATTGACAGATGTCCTCAGTGTAGTGTTTGATGGTTTGGTATTTTCTAGATTTTTTCTGATTGACTTGTGAGGGACTATAGATGTTAAGTAGCTTTCAGGCTAAATCTGGGATTTTTACAATTAAATGTTCATGTATTTGCTTTGTCCCTTTAAATAAATAAAGATAAACATAAAAATCTACTCATTTACAGATCATATTTTTTGTGCATACAATCTTTTTTTGGTTAACCCTTTGGCAAACTTAAGCCTCATTCTAAGCTAGTGGCAATTTGCCCTTTCTCCACTAGGCGATCCATGCTGACTTACTTGACCAAGTCTATCCTGTTGTTGATGGCGGCCCAGTGGAGGAGTGTGACGTTTTCTTTGTCCGGCTGCCGAACGTCAAAGCCGGCCTCCACCAGCTCCCTGCAGCGCTCGAAGATGCCGTACCTGCAGCACAGGGCGGAACGCCGTCAGCCTCTTAAAAGGCATCAACTTTTTTTAAAAAGGATAAATCCAAATGAATAAGAAGAAATCTGCTCAAAAATCTTCAGATTCACTATGCTTGGAGGTGAATAAAATCTCCTAATTGATTTTTTACAAATTGTTGTCAGCAGTAATGAGAGAATATAACCGTGCTCAGCACTCACTGTGTGGCTTTGACGATGTCCCAGGTGCTGTAGTCGTCCACATGGTTTTTCCGGCTGACGTTCTCGCTGTAGCCATGGTTGTAATGACTCTGGGGTTTGATTTCCTAAAGGAGATCAGAGGAAATTAACTTACTTATGAATCTGCTTCGAAATGCCAAAAAGATCAATTTTTGTTTCAATGTTTCAACCATAACAATTAGTCCAATGTCATAAAATGTTTTTTAAAACGCTTCAGTGGGTCTAATACGTCAAGAAGGGTTCAGCAATGATAAATTCATAAATTTAAGATAATCAATGACCGCCTCCCCCGAAACACACACACACACTTACTCCACTCCGTTATTCTGCTTAAACTAACAGTGTGTGCTTTGAGAATACAAAGCTGAAATAAATACAAATGACTTGCCAACTTTTAGTATCTGCATTGCAAATGTGTTGAAAAGCTTTCCCTCCCTCTGACTAATGTTGTTTTTCTCCTTATGCATACAAAAAACAAGAATATATTTTTTAAAATGTTCAGCCCCATACAGCTAAGGAGAAAATTCAGTCAAGACAGATGTTTCGCCGTTTGTTTCTTGGCTCTACCTTTCTCATACCTGATCCAAAATAGTTACGTTATCCTGACTTATTTTTCTATATTTATGCTGCTATGTGTTTAGGCTGCAGGAGGACATAGGGACCCCTTTACCTTATATCTTTATTCTCCTAATCTGCAATATTTGCTAAGTTCCACCCATAAACTTATGAGCTCCCTGTTTTTCCCCATCATGGAAGTTTCATCTGGTCTGTTCCTGTTGGTTGGGACTCCATCCTGGAATTACATATCAGCTAAACTGCTGCAATCAAAACCTTAGTTTAGAGATATCGGAATTGTGCCTGTTTTTCTTTTTTTTGTTAACCAACTCTAATAATAGGACAGGCCTAATAGTAGAGTTGGTTAACAGTTACCTTTTGTGTATCTACATTAATGTATGTCTGCTTCTGTCTCCTTGAACCCTAGTCAGCCTCAGCAGATGGCCGCTCACACTGAGCCTGGTTCTGCTGCAGGTTTATTATTGTTAAAAGTGATTTTTTTCTCTCCACCGTTGCTGCATGCATGCTCAGTGTGATGCATTGCTAAAGAGTCAACAAAAAAAATGCATATCGTTACCTCAAGTTCATCCAGGAGGAGCATTCCCTGCAAGTCAATCACTGAATGCAATCAACTTGACAGAAACTTGTAAAACAATCTGACTGTATTGTCTCTGTAAAGTGCCTTGAAATGGCATATGCTCTGAATTGACCTATATGAATAAACTGAATTGAATAATGTTTAACATTTTTTTCTCTCACAAATTTCAGGAAAGGTGAACCTTACATAGATCCATCAAGGATATAGTGAGTTATTCCCAGCCTTAAGAGATACAAGAATCTTTGAAGTTAGTTACCTGAGCAAAACCATCTCTTTTCTCACATTTTAAGTTTTTATTCTATCTGAGCCTTTAAGATAAAAAAATTACAAGATATAAAAGCCTTGAAATATTTCACTCCACTTGGAATGTCCTTATGCACTTCAGTTTTAGACTGATGCAACCATAAACCTTTCCCAGGGCTGGAGCTGGCTCAGGTTGGTACATTATACTCTGAAGGGTTGTCACCTATGGAGCAGCTTAGCCAAGTATACTGCTGCTTTTCCCCAGGAGGTCCAAGTCACACATTTATGAGTAAATATGCCTATAAGGATCACACTTAACAGCCTTGCTTTCTCAGAAAGAAAGAATTTCTTGGACTCTGGTTGCAATGACTGCTTTTTCTGCAGCTATACTGCCCCTTTGTTTAGTTCCTGCCAGCTGTAGCCATGGCTGACAATCCAATTCAGTCTCAAATTAGAGTCATTTCAGGAGGCTGATTCAATGGTTAAAGAGACATTACAACGCTGGGATCAGGGAGAGAGCGAGAGAATGCATCTTCTTATTAGAGGGGGAATGAGGATGCCTCTGACAAGAATCTAGTTAACGAGCAGAGGCCGGCCCTTTTCTGATCTTCATAACACAACTATTAGCAAACAATAAAGATTTAGGTTAAACTGAGACAAACCTGCTGAGGTGGATGGATGGAATAAGAGATTTTTCTAGACTTCTTTCAACAGAATGACCCAGATTCTATCAGCCGATGATAAAAGGTTGATGTGCAGCAAAAATAAAACACACTATCAAAGCTAATCTACATGAATCTAACACAGCAAAACTGTTTATCTGGAGTCAGTGGCATTTATTTACTACAGAAAAGATAACGCTGAACTCCTGGGGAGGACAATCAGCTGTTGTGTTCCATAAATACATCTCAACTGCCGGCATCAGTGACTCACTTCTTCTGTTGTTCTCTAGCTGTATGATGACAAGAACCAGCTTCCAGACTGATGTATATCAGTTTGAGTTTTTCTTCACAAATAAACAGGAGGGAATCCCAAACAATGAGCAACAACAAGAGGAAAGGGGATGTTTAGCCTGATGCACAAAAGAATGGGCAGCTTTCACTCTGAAGGTTAAGGCTTCACCACATGTCCAAATAACCATGGAAATGGTGGTCAGTGAGGTAAAAAATACAGATAAATAGCAGGCTACCAGTACCTACACTTTTATCTACCAAAGCAGAGTTAGTTACACCTGATTTTCTGCCTTCGGTCTAACAGATGATGCATTGGTAGTAAAATTTAAAATACATTTTACTGATATGACCAAAAACAGTTATAACAATATTCATTTTATTCATACACATTACCCTAACTTAACCCAACAGCATTAAAAAAATTGACACTGCTAATATTGCTGCTTTGCTTCAGTTAAAACAGGAAAGAAATCGACTCTCGAAATCAGTTCAGCTTTATTCATGGAACTGCTGTGAGCAAAACGATTCAAGTCGGCTAACACTGAAGCTAACTGACTGAACGCGCATCTCTGACTCTAATGCCACCAACGTTGGTCTGATGAGTAAAACCAGGGTGATATTAAACCTTTATGTCCAGCGGAGGCACCAGTGCTCCCGTTTGCAGATCTATTTTTTAGACGCCTGTAGAATTGCTTTTAAATAAGCCAGAGCAATTTTTTGTTCTTCTGCAAATTAAACCACAGAGATCAGATTAAACTTTCTACTCTCATCGAGTCCCAAAGCACTTTTTTTCCTCCAGGCAAATTTCGTTTTGATTTTGCATAAATTAAATAAAAACGCAAAAAACAAGCAAACATTACAATCCAGATGGCTGTGTACTTTCTACACAGCAAAGACGTAATGTAATTGGTGGATGAACCTAAGGCTGAAACGATTAATCTGATTAGTCATGATTAATTAATTATTGAAATAATTGTCAACTCATTTATTAATCATTAACTGGAGTGTACAGGCTGTAAACCATGCCTTTAGTTGACAGAGCAACCCACTTAAAGTAGTAATTATACCAAGATTGTAAAAAAATATGTAAATATTTTGCTTTTAATATGAAAAAAAACTCCTCAAGTGGGAGTGGTGGTGTAGTGGTTAGGGCATTGCACTTGGGCCCCAGAGGTTCTGAGTTCAACCCCACTCCCACATACTGCCACTCTGGGCCTCTGAGCAAGACCCTTAACCCCAAACTGCTCCCAGGGTGCCACACAATGGCAGATCACTGCTTCCCAAAGGGATGGGTTACTTGTGGGTACTTGTGACAGTGTATTCACAATAAAGTTGAATTCTAAGTCGAAAAGTTTTAGTTTCACTTGGTTTAATTTCGTAAAAAGTCTACTTTAAGGATCCTTTTGCTGTCAGATTATTAAGCGATTAATCAAAAAGGTCATCGACAGTAGGGATGGAACGGTTTTTGAAAACCGTCCGAACCGTTCGGTTTGACTGTCTCGGTTCGCGTGTGTTTCGTTCGGTTCATGCGCTGCTCCATTTTCTCATAGGCGAAGCGTGTACACTCCAGAGCAGAAGGTGGCGGTACTGCGACCAAAGCCAACCACCAGCAGTAAACAAGAAGAAGAAGCGAAGCAGCGTAGCCGGGTGTAGCAGAAAAAAAAAAAGCAGTTGTTGTGGAGAATTATGTGGGTATGGCGAGTGGGAAAGAACAGGAGTTGGAAGACGCGTCAGCAGCACTTTATAGATCTGCTGTATGGAACCACTTTGCATTTAGAGTGACCTACGATGACGGCGGAAAGAAAGTTGTGTGCAAGCATTGTGCAACACGTTTTGTTTATGCTAACAGCAACACGACCAACATGTCAGGCTAACAATCAACATATACCGAACCGAACCAAAAACCGTGACCACGAAAGCGTAAACCGAACCGAAGATTTTGTGAACCGTTCCACACCTAATCGACAGATTAATCGATTTGCAAAATAATTGTTAGTTGCAGCCCTAGATGAACCGTCACATAGAGAGAAACACCCGGAAGTCATTATTTTTTCCTAGTAGTTGTAGATTTTGACCAGTTGATTGGACATTTTTCCTCAGGTCAAAGAGCAGGAGGTTGTTTCTGAGAGTGCTGCATCCCTCTGTGACTGGGGTGATATTGCTGTAATTAATGGCAACTACCTGTTACACAAGGAGCTGTGTGGCAGACTGGATCAGCAGCTGTTGTCCACAGTCCACAACAAGCACCAAAGGGCTGTGAGCACATCCCTGTGGCCTTTGCTAAGGAAACATCAAGAAAGCCACACAGGGATGCATGAAGTGCAGTGTGTGGGAAATGCACTCGCTTCATGTGTAAAATCCCTTCGTCTGTGATAGTGGGCAGGAGCTGTCAAAAGATCTATAACTGCTCATCTAATCTTTACTCTGCATCTGTGGTTCCAGTATTGTTAATAACTTATTATAGATACGGTTACGGTGTCCCATTTGTGTTTGAGCATTTTTTTTTCATCTTGATAAAGAATATCAAGTGAATTTGACTTTATCTGTTATAAAGTTTCAACAAAGTAAAACATAATAATAATAAATTGTTGTTCATAACACTTTATTGTTAGAAGATTTTCTCTTGAACCTTTAAGTGTGTTCATATGTATCTGGTAAAACTTGTAAAAGTGCACTACTGTAAACACTTAATTTTTAATTACATATAATATTTTTCTCAAATGTGTCTCAGTGTACA